TATACGTTAGTACTTACTAAGATGAGAATCTTTTTAAAATGTATACGTACATGAGAAATTTTGGTTGGTTTTTGTTGGATGTTTGGTCAATGTTGTATCAGAACTTTGCCTGTTGCAGATGTTGAACTTATATAAGCTTATATGAGATGTTCTGCCAAAGTGCTTTGTACAATATATAAGGAATTTCGCGCATGCAGGTGCAGTACGTTCTGCCAACGTGCTTCTCATATGTATCTTGCCCATACAACTAAAGAATGACAGTCAAGATTAACTGTGATTGACAGTTGCATACCTGTTACCATTGACCAATAGCATCTCCTGACACAAGTGTGTCCTGTGTCCTTGTAACTCTGAGAGGAAGAGGATTTCTGTGATGTCTCCCTGTTGGCCCTTCCAAACACCAACTTCTGCAGGTCTGCTACAAGGGTGTTCTATAATAACAGAAAAGTATTGACAGGTTTCAACAAGCAAAATGTTAGGGTCAGTTGACTTTGAAGGATCATATTTGAAGTGTTCAGTTATGATTAGGATGCACAGCTTTAGCAAAAGTAGGGGAAAGCTGCAAGTGTGATACAGCCAAATTCACAGACACCTCAATCAAAATTTTCTTTAAACAGAAAAAATTAGCAAACATACTTACCAGAATGACTGTGCATGTCTGTTGCACAGCAGGGTCCAGTGGCACTTCATCTGAAAGCAAATGCATACAAGCTTCAGTGCTTCCAAAGCCTAATCAACAACTTAACTGTTTCTCAATACATTTACACCTAGCACTTGACATAAACTTCCCAGTCTTTTTAAGCCTTTGTTGTGCACAGTTTATATGTAATTATAACCTACCTTTCTGGTTGATTGGACAGGCAGTATCCAGTAGGAACTTCAGGACCTTCTGGCAGCCACTGCTGGTTTTAGTGATGAGGTGAACCACCAGGGATATCAGTCTGTCAACGGGAGTCAGGTAACATGGTTATAAATTATATCTGTATGGTAATCATGTAATGGAGACATGCATGAACAACAGGAGAGCAAATCTCTTAATATATTTCACACATAAGTATCAAAGAAAGAGTTACGAATTGGGTTACTAGTATATGTCAGTCCATGGTGCTGAAAAACATTCAGCACCGTGCACATTCTGCTTTTACCTGTAGTAACATTCTCATTTGCCCTGTCCTTGGTACTGAATGACAATCAATGATTATTGTTTCCAATAGTAGTACATGTAATTCTACACACTTACCCTGTCCCTGGTGCTGAATAGCATTCACAATAAGGTTTGATCACTCTATATATGTCTTGATATATGCTGAGAACTAAGACTTAAAGAGTGAAAAATATCCATCCATACCCTTCCATGTCTGCCTTGGACCTTCCTTTAGACAACTGCCTTGCCAACTGGTTCAGTACATCAGCACTCACTGTGGAGGGTACACAAACAACATTTACAAAATCTAAGATTTGTTGTGAACAAAACTCCTCACTTTTACTCAAGATGGCTGATTGCTTACAGGAAGCAAACTACTTTTGACTTTATGTCTCCGTAGGTGATTATGGTTTAAGTTAAATCCTTCAAACTAAGCTATTGGGCTAGTCCAGTCATAGTGGTGTGTGTCCATCTACCATACTGTGAGCAACATGTATTATGTTTAAATTCTTGGATGACTAGTCAGTTGTGATGACCCTGGTTTCATGACCTATTGAATGCAAAGTGAGCACTCAGCCTACTGAGTACTATCACTACTTACATGAGTCGACCAGGTCAGTTGTGATGACCCTGAGCAGCATGGGAGACATGGTAGCCAGCTCCAGTAGGAACGGCACCGTGTACTGTTCCTGTTTACTCTCACTTAGACTGACCTGGGGAAACAGCCACAAATACATGCAAAAAGTGAAACCTACAATGGAGGGCACCCACCTTCTTTAACTACTGTCTGTAGACTATGGTAGGAGTTGGACTATACCTTTTCATAACAATAAATTAAGAAATTTTAAGGATAACTGCTTGATGTTAAAAACAAGTGATATTGCAGTACATGCCAGTTGCAATTTGTCCGGTCAAGAGAATTTTTCCATTCAACTAGTAATGACTTTTACAGAAAAAAAAGAAACACATATTATAATATTCAATCAAAAACAAACTTGACTGACTGAATGATTAATACAGTAACACTTTTGCATCAAAGAAGGAGTTTTCTTAAAAAATACAAAAATGAATGATGATTACAGTGACACATTAACATAGATATCAGGAATGGGAATATTGAAGTATATCCAGCCCTACATGGAAGAGCTGCAGCAGGGCCTCCCTGATGTCCTGTGCGTGATGAGCGGCCAGGTGGCCCAGGATGCCCACCACAGACGCCAGCTTGGGAACATGGCTCTCTGTGGCCTTGCTGCTGCTGTGGCTACAGAAGTCCTTCAGACCACAGGACAGCACACGGGTGATGATGGTGTTGGGGAAGGATGACCTGAACAGAACAGGGTATCTTAGCAAGTAAAATCCCTTCCAACACCTTTGTGTGTATAGGGAAAATATCAAAATCAGAGTGTCAGGCTTTATCTCCTGGTGCTGAAAAGCTTTCATCAAAGACACTGTTATACTCATTCATACATGCCCTGTCCTTGGTGCTGAACAATACTCACCTAACACATGCCCTCTGTCACACTCATTCACACATGCCCTGTCCTTGGTTCTGAACAACATTTACATAGCACACTTGTAGTCTCTGTCATACTCATTCACATATACACTGTCCCTGGTGCTGAAGAATATTCATGTAGCACATACATACTGGGTGAGCCATACACATCCATGTCCACATGTTGTATTGGCAAGCCAACTTTGCTTTGATAAGAGAACACAAGTGGCCTTACCCAATATGAGCCACCACCCAGTCAAAGTGTGGAGAGTGTTGCACTGAGGTGTCCAGTAGTGCATCTACGCACAGGTCCGCTGAGCTACCAGTCCTGTCAAATGCAAAATTACTAATGAGTTAGTATTGAGTTAAAAAAGCTAATATGACCAGTCAAACTATCAACAGATTTTCTTGGTAGAGTTTCCATCTAAAACAGTTGTTTCATTTATTTTTTTCTCTATAGCTAGGTTCCTAAGGATTTTACTTGTTAGCTGGTTGTTGGCTTCTTTCCCAGTTTTGAGTATTGATTGATACACACTTCGAAGCTATGATCAACAAAGAATACTTACATGGCTGCTAAACACTGGGTGTAGATATCCATTAGTGTTCTTGTTGCTGTAAAATAGATACATTGAGAAGTGCCATTGATTATACACTCAACAACTCTCTTAGTGTTACAGCCATAGCAGTATATATAATGTACATGTAAATGCAAACTTAACAAAATGGTTAGCTGAAGGTTAACCTGTATGGTGATTATGCAATAAAACTCCTTTGGCAAATACTGGTGAGTATACTATCTAAAACACATTTATAAATCCTTTGTACCTTTGCAAGTCATCCATAGCTGTAACAGTTCATTCAGGCTGGAGGAATGAGGGACTCCTTGGTACAGAAAAAAATCATATTATTCAACAACTTTTACTGACAACAGAACTACACTACACACTACTACTTTGACTTATCATGGGAATGCTATTTTTAAATTCCAGACTGATAGTACCTTAAAATGCTTGACAAATCATAAGCCTGGTACATCTCATACAATATCATAATAATAACTGCAAACAAATACCTCTTCTTCCTGCATACTTGGTGCTAATCTGTCCCAGAAGGTCAATGGACCACTGCAATAGAGCAAAATGAATATTGCAAAGCATTATTAAGCTTACATTTTTATGACATTCCAACTAAAATGTGGACATTGAACACAACAGACATTTTTTTACAGACTTGATTAATTTCATAAACTACATGACATTGTAATAAAGTTTACATTGAAAGTATAACAGTGAACCAAATGGGCAAATAAATGGTTCATACATCAGCCTGATGCAGTATGATACAAAAGTGTACTTACAGCAGAAATAAGAGGAGCCCAGGCTTGAGGGTTGACCTTGACAAACCCCAGTAAAACACTGCACACCTCCTGTATGACTGGGTCCAGGTTAGGACCCACTGTCCCTACAGATACCAAGCAAAGAAGAAAAATTAAGGATAAAAAATTCAAGATGAACCAGTGACTTAAAATGACTGCTATTCTATACATTTGCTTGTTCACATGTACATGTAGTATTCTAACTTCTACAGGCAGGTACCTTATAGTTATACTCCAGTTTGACATCCAAGCTCCAACTCGATGCACTGTTGAATTTATAAAAATGGTAAAAGAAAAACTGGGAGTATTGAGTACTGCTGGAGTATATACTGTGCAGTACATTACTACATGTAGTACCAGTACCAGTACCATTAGGATACACAACCAAAATATATATATATCACCGAAGTGTTGACATGTCAGTGTCCATCAGACACCTTCCTCAGAGCTTCTAACTGGACTACTGGAGTTCTGCTTCCCGCCACTATATGTAGCCGATGTAGGTGGCAATTAGGTGAGATATTTTGGTTGTGTAAAAGAAAACTCCTGAATCCCATACTTTACCAACCCGATGAAACTATTTTCGGTACCAGTACTATTGTTTAAAACAGGATAAGTTAAAATCTCACACTGTATATCTTCTTACCTGAACCTTCACTCTCGATCTGCAGGATGTGAGAATTGACTGCTTCATCAAAGATCCCCTGCAGGAACTCCAGCACGGCCGAGCGGGCTGCAGGTACAGTCCTCAGCAGAGAGAGGGCGCTTCTGGCATGCTCCTCCAAAGTCAGCTTGTGCCCAAACGTCGCATGTTTGCCCTGGACGAATGTCTTGATCTCTGCCTGCAACTCCTTTGTGATTGATATAAAGGCAGATAAAAAAAGTATGTTATAATGTGTAATAACATAACATGCATCAATAAGCAAATTGGCAAAAACAATGCGGCTTTATTAATGTTTTTCAATGGTCAGGATGTACTGTGGTCAAATGACTAACATTAAGTCAATGTACATGTAAGCTGTGCTGATAATAGGGACGTGTGAAAATTCAAATTGTTGTTGCCTCCTCCATAACTTTATCACCTCCAACCACTGAGAATTCAATCTCTGCATAATTTTTTTTGGGAGCAGTTATCATTAAGAAAGAACGTCTATCGATGGAAAAGACTACTTGAGCATAACACATAATTATAATTATTACCACATATTATAATTTTTGACTATATAAGTCGCTATTGCCGAAAAATACCGCAACGTTGTTATTGTGGTCTACCACTTTCTCCTTTCTCACACTTTCTTCAAACTTAGAGTGGGGAGGGGGGCAGAGAATCTGCATCATAAAGCACAGCTTTTCTCAGCTACTGTATAAGACCAGCACAACTGCAGGATCCTTAAACCTTGAAGACTCATGCAAGCCACTAAAAACGTGTATTCCTGACGTCTAGCGCACCTGAGGGGTGTGAGAAACCGTGGAAACTCCTCCTCCGCTAATTGTCGCCGCCATTTTGCACTTTTGGTGCAATCCACTTGTTTTAAGGGGTGTTTGTAATTTTTTTATTAGAAGCAAACATAGTTTGTATGACACAGTCATGCATATACTATGGCAAATTATATGTATGTACTTCTGCATATTCGTTATAAAAAGTTTATCTTTTGTCCTTACTTAGTGATATTTTCGTTAAAAAGTTCAGTCTTTGGTCCTATGATGAGAATGGTATTGACTTTTAGCAAAACGCTTGTTGATTGGTCAAAATCATGACCTTGTAAGCAGTTGACCAATCAGAGAACGAATAGCATTAAAACCTTTATGGCGGCGACCAAGCTGTACACAAGCACGTAAGGTCGTGTGCTTTTTCAAGGTTAGCAGGTAATCGGTGCCTTTTCTTGACTAGCTAATGATCTTGCATGGTTCGTGCACAATTACGATCTAAATAGGCTAACTAAAGACTCATTTGAGACCCATATCAGTCGAAGATACGGGGCGAAAAAAAGAGGGGGGAGGGCGTGAGACATCTTCCGGTTTCTTGCATCATTGCTAACCACACGTGGGTCAACCAAGACATCTGTTCAATGTAGAATTTCAGATTGATATATTTTATAGCCTCCATGTGCATTAGGCAACGTCGATTTAGTTTCTAGCTTCCGATAATGACCTTATAATAGCATAGTAGCCTTGAGAAATGCTCTGGCCAGTATCTAGTATCACATGATATGGCTAACATCATTTTGTGACGCCGACTTGCGTCACAAACCTACCTGTTGCTGTTTTGGCCTAGATGTGTCCAGATATACTGACCAGCCCATGCATTAAACTCCGATAGGTTATACAAGCTCTCTCATGTGTTTCAATGTTGATGGTCGTTGTGAACAAGTTAGTTATTACAGAGGGTCTGCATGGGGGGGTCCTGGCAACGGTTAACGGTAAATTCGGCAGGGACGATAACGCTTAACGGTAAAATCAGGACGGTCGGCAACGCTTAACGGTAAATTGACAGGCTTTTTTTCGAGCTGCACTGGATTTGACATCTCGCTTTGTGAGAAAAGGTGATCACTGACAAAATTACGTATACCGTACATGTAATGAAGCACGCATTAAAGGTTCCCTGTGTTTCCCGCTTGCCCTGGTCCCGAGTGCGTCCACAAATAAAGGGGAGTCCGAGTCGACGTCGGCCAGGGCTCTACCCAGCTTGACTTTTTTCCGTTAGCCGAGTTTTTACCGATGGATTTGGGGGTGGGGGGGTGGGGAAGTGCCTTCTAGGGGGGTCCGATTTTACGATTTTTAAGCCTTCAAAAACGCAATTTCCCGCATTTTGAGAGGCATATCATGGTGTTGAGAGTGTTTGTTGGTCCCTCTGATGTTTTCATATTTTTACTCAAGATTTTGTTAATTTTGTTTGACGGATTCGTTAAAAAAATTCTGTATCTCTCCGCAAACTTCCGGTAATTGACGGAAAGTTGCTGCTGGATAGAGCCGAAGGGACCGAGCGCAGAAGCGCGAGTCGAGCGCCAAAGGCGCGAGCAAATATGTAGGGGGGGGGAATTTTGTATTTTTGAACCTTCAATGACGCATTTTCCTGCACTTTGAAAGGCAAAATTAGGCGTAACGAAGAATTGTTCATTAACGCTTAACGCTGAATTTAGGATGACAAATAACGCTTTACGTTGAATTAAAACGACCAATAACGCTTCACGATGAATATACCGATAACGCTTAACGTTGAATTAGAGCGGGTTGGCAACGATTAACGGTGAATTAAAATAGCCCATAACGGTTAACGAAAAAGGGCATGCAGACCCTCATTACACAAGTCGTTCATACCAAGAAGGTTATAATATATCAAACGTCCACTCCTTGTTCACACCAGTTGTATTTGATTTATGTTTACTGAAGGAAAACATTGTTTTTGCTCAGTTTCTTCTTCTTCTCCAAACAAATAAGGGCAATGACCTGAACCCGATGTCTGTCGCCATGGTAACTAGTGTTGGGTTACATCATGTTGCAATTTTATAGCAAGTGTATTTATTCTCCTGCACATCTATGACAGGTAGAATGCCGATAAGTATCTACTCCAAAGTGGGCTTTGCCGTAGCGGTCAGCGTGACGTTGCTCAGCATTGCTGCGAGGTATTTCCGGCGTAGGACGAGACCGAACCCCGCCCGTAGCCCCAGAGCTGCGGAGAAAGACTTTGCGGAGGCCGTGAGTCTCCATGTCAGCACGAGTACACCACGGGCCAGGAGCCCTGCTAATGTGGAGGGAGGTGGGTTGTTGTGGACTTGTGGTGGTACAATATTTGCTGATATGGAATACATACTCAGTAATTGCTGTAACCACCTTTTGTAGTTGCATATCATAGTTTGCACCTATTTGAAGCTTCTGATGCAGGTCCCATTCCCGTAACAATGTTGTATATGTCCTGTACATGTGATAATACTATGATTCTCCTTTGACAAGTGGCACTGTGCTCCTTTTTCTGCTATGCTGAGTGAATGAGTGAGTGAGTGAGTGAGTGAGTGAGTGAGTGAGTGAGTGAGTGAGTGAGTGAGTGAGTGAGTGAGTGAGTGAGTGAGTGAGTGAGTGAGTGAGTGGAAAGTGCACAGTACTAGTGAGTAGACGTTGAATGTGTCATAGACATCAGTCTTTATGTTATAGCATTATTAGTAGTTTGTGCCTTTAGTAGGCTTTACTAGTCCATCATTTGCATGTGTCCCCCAGGCTCCTCCTCCCCGATGGTGGGCAGCCACGTGCGGACCATCAGTACGGCGTCTGTGTCCAGCAGCACGAGTAGACGACATTCTCTCACGCGCTCCAGCCTGCACGGTTCTCTCACCTCCGTCCGCAGCGCGTGCTCGGAGCGGACCCTGCAGACGGACAACATCGACATGGCACCTGCACAGATCTTCCAGACAGGTGAGTCAGGTGCAGGCGTTACACCTGTGATCTAGGCCAGTCTGAATTTTTTTCTGTCATCGCAATTTTGTTTGATGTAACAACCTGTCAAACAAAATGTAGGGTACCAGAGGGTATGCTCTAACAGGAAAATTTTGAAATACTACTTCCTGCATTTTGGGGGGCAAATTTTGCTGGTATGCTACGCTTAGTCTAATGAAAACTCTTTCCAAGTCTTCACAGCACCTTTGTGTAAGATCTCTAGTTTTGTGTTGTTTTACCAATACATAATGATAAAACATATCATCAGAACCACCATTGTATTCAGTATTAATGGTATACATTGTAAATTACTTACCAACAAAATGGTTTAGCTTAGCCTTAGAAACATAATGTTACATACAAACACTTTTATTCCTTCCACATCTCACATATTCATGTTCATAAAGTTTCAGCTAACTGTGCTCCCCACATGAGTTTTTGAAACTCTGTTAGAAACCAACAAGATACAACAACATAGAACTTCTCTCTATCTCCATTTTGTTTGATTACATGTTTTTCTTTACAATACCCTACATGTACCTGTCATGTCTCATCCCGTCTCTCTGTCTCTTCCATGTGTAAATCATCCAGGGTTAAAAGGTGTGCCACCAGTCTATCAACATCTAGTAATAGTGCTGTATATGTTTTGTACAAATGTGTCCATTGTAATATTTTGTTTATTTATAAAACTGCATGGACTATTATCAGTAGTTTGCCAAATTAATAGGAAGTATTTTCAATGTATTTAGTGTGAATGTTTTGTGTTTGTAGGTTGTTTCTTGTCAGTACTAGTATTGATGGAAATACCTGCACCATGAAAAAGCTTAAAACTCAAAATTCACAAAAGGTTACTATGCTCATTTTGATAAAAATCTATGTCTAAATCTTGCATATTGCAGTCTTAAACCCTTGTCTATTGTGTAGAGATTTGCATGATGTTCTCACATTCAAGCCCATTTCAAAGCTGACTCCGCCATGCACGCGGTATTGTTAAATTCACCTATCGGTATGATACAGTTATATCACATGTACACTTAACTCACCTGCAGGTATGCAGCACCTGGAACATGCCATTAACTGCTGGGAGGAGATAGCCACCATGAGAGCTGAGGAAAGAGTTTTGGAGTTGGAGAAAGGGGAGGGGGCAGCTGGGGCTGAGGTCGGTACTTGTTAGGCTGTAACAAAGTTTAGGACTGAGAACAAATCATTCTCCACAGAAAGACTCTCATGTAGTGGCTTATGCAATCACTGGAGAGATGATCCAGGGGTCTCCCCAGAAATTCTTAGGGGAGAGTTGCTCCCTAATTGGTTGATGAAAAATCAGCAAATTTTCATGGAAATACTAAGAGAAAACCCTAAATTGGAAAATTTTGGAAGAGGTGCTGGGATTTGAAGGAGAGGGGAGTACCCTTGTTTTATTGCTTGGGGAGGGCCCACAGTGTGTTTCTGAAAAGATGAAAGGCTTTCCATCCTTCCCTGTTTAACCTTAAATTGACTACTTTAACTCTTTGAAACCAAAAATGGGTCTTTGGAGATAGCCTATATGACACACATGCATTTGCAGTCTAAGTATTGTTACATGACAGCAAAGCTAACTGATCCAGTGGTGAAATAGTCAGAAATGCTACTGTTTGTATTTGCAGGGTGCTGATGACAGTGAGTTGGTAGAACGGGTAGAGAGATTACTCCAGAGAGCGTACAGACTACAGGAGGATGGCCGCAATATTCTCCTGGACCATTCCATTTGGTAAGTGAAGTACATGTACCTTAAACTAAAGTACTTTGAACTAAAACAGTTAGGAAGAAAATTGTTAGAAATATCAAGAAAGGGAATGGATGATAAAAGGTTAGGAATATGAGATTTGCTTTGTTTTCTCAATTAGTTCCAACTATAATCTACATTGTACCGGTATCTCCAATCACAAGGTTAAAGCTTTTGCCAGCCACAGATGCCTGATGCAGCAAATCCAGATGTTAAACACTTCTGCCTTCTGTCCATGCCTGCAGTAGCTTGTCCTAATTTTTTCACTCGTCTTCTGTCTGTAAAGTGAAGCCCAATGCACCAATTTTATACCCAGGCAACATTTCATAATAAAAGATGAGTATGAAAGGTCTAAAAGTTCTATCTTCCATCTGTAGCAGCCTGTCTCGAGACACGACCATGACAGGTTTGGACGCCATCTCTGAGCTGGACCAGCTGTACTTACAGGACTGGCGCAGAGACGAGACCTCCTCCACCGGATCATTTGTATCTGCAGAAGAGGTAGGGACAGTACAAACACAACCACAAACCAAAAATCATAATCTTTATGCAGCCCTGTTTTCATTGTAGTTTTGTCCTCTCACTCCTGTTTAAGCTTTAGTCTCTATTTTTTATTCCATTCGCTTTAGTTTCTCTTCTGCAGTATCACTTCTCTTTTATTATGAATTTGTAAAGGCTGTCTTTTTACGATTGAAGAGTTTCCTTTATTTCTTTAACACGTTAACTAAGTTCTCAATCTACAGAGTTTTCTACCCCCCTCCCCACTTCTTTTCTCTTCAGCAGTCTCTTGTAGACATGTTAGACTGGCTGTCCCCTCAGTGTGTTACCCCCTCCTCCACAGATGGTACATTCCACACTGGACAGGTAAAGTCCCACTCACCTGTGATAGCAAAAGCTGAGACCTTGTGTGTGACTATTCTAAAATTCTTATTAGGCCACACCAACTTAATTTTATGGATGACATCCGCATCCGCATTGATTTTCGCCTGTTCTCAAAAAAGAAAATCGTGTCCACCAAGGCTCTGGCCTGGTTCTAGGCCTGGGTAGTCCATGGTAGTTAGCAACAATACGGAGCCGGGCACCCAGGCTACCAAAGCTCCACAACTAAAAATCTCAGTACATACATACAGTGCCGATTCTGCAAAAAGCCAGTATGTGCCGGCTTGTCATATACGTCACTAAGTACTGCCGCAAATTCCTTTTTATTTTGGGCTGGATTTTTTTTTATTTGTGCACACGCACTAGTTTGGGGTGGCCTTACCTGTTGTTCTAGAATAGGACAGTGGTCCTTGTGTCAAAGGTGATGAGAGTGCATCATGCCTTCAGTACACAATGTTATCACACGATTTCTAAAAAAAAAAATTAACTATAGTATCTACGCATTTACAACTGTAGGGTAACTTAACAGCCAACTTTATATTTATTACATTCAAGTAGTTGGCTATATTGTAAAACCAAGAGTACCTTCCAGTCATTGTAGGATGTTTGAAAATCTTAAAAGTTTGCAGAATAGTTTGAAGGCAGCTTGGAGTTCTCTATTCCTAAATATTGAAGACCAGACAAATATTGTTAGGTAAATAAATGCTGATGACACAACTTGTTCTGGTTCAATACCAGGTTTGCCAAAAAATAAGAATGGATATAACATTGACTTGAGGATTGATAGGTTTCTCAGACATCCTTGAAAAGTTGTTTTGTTGTCTTCTGCTAGTTGCAAGAGTTGCAGGATGACTATGAGGATGAGCTGGCATCAGGAGAGAAGACTCCTGTCGTCCCCATCACCTTGGAGCTGTATGAGGCGGCACGCGGCCTCCTGGATAATGAAGAAATTCCCTGTCGGACCACAAGGTACTACTGGTACTCTATATGTATTTGTCAATTTGATGCAATGCACACAGACACATATATAAAATACTTTAGATAGTATGTTTAAGTATGGAAACTTGCAATGAAATCCAGCGTGTCTACTGTCTTCCCAATTGCTTGATTCCCAATCACACTGTACTTCACAAAGCTTCTGCATACCTGGATATAGACAAGAGTGGATTATACAATAGCTAGTCAATGAAGTTTGGGTCCTATGTCTGTAGAATTTTCAGCAGATACTTAGATAGTAGTTTTTCTTGCTGTGTCCACCCTACTAATCAGATTGTAAAACTCGTGTCTGATGTGCTTCCTGCTGTGTCCTTAGTGCTGAATGGTCATTTCTTGCTTTTTCCTTAGTCCTGATTGGCCATTAGTTTTTTTTTCAAGTCTGATATATTGCAGCATATGGCTCCCTCTACTGTGCTCAGGTACAATGAAAGAAACTTTAAGTACTACCATGAGCATTTAAGACACTTAAGAAAAGCATCTTTCCATCTTCAATTTCCAGGACTAGAATGTTGGACTGTCTTTCCGACAGAGAATTTATGGCAAAACTCCACTGTGTTAGACAAGCATTCCAGGTAAGACAAGAGCCAATGTACAGTTTTTTTCTGCTATAATTGGAAAACATGCTGATAATGTAGCTGTTTGATTTAACTAGTCTGCCTGGCAAGGTGACAATCTCAACTTGTATGAGAGCCCCGGGTTAAATTAAGTAAAAAAAAAGTAAAGTAAAGCCAAAAAAACTAAGTAAAGCCAAACTTTGTCAGTTCATGAAATATATAAAAAGATCAGCATGTCGGTAGAACGTACTACACCTGCATTAAATTTGGAACGTAACATGGATAGCATGTCACTTTACAGAATGTATCATTTAAGATCGTGTTTGTGTATCTAAGGATGATTTCCAGTCTGCAGTTTTCAAATGTTGTGTCAGGGAAGATATCTTGTTGCAATAGACAAAATTCTGATGTAAGGCTGACCCAACATTGAACAGAACTATGGTTTTGCTCAGGGACATTATGTTCTGCTGACGTGCTAGAAAGACCACAACAACTACTTGTGTATCATTGATTATTACTAAAAAAAATTAATAAATAGACTTGTAAGTTGTATGCTACTTTCAACAGCTGACTATCTGAACTTACTTAGTTTGTGTTGTAACTCATTGCAAAGTTCTAGGAGTGCTTACACGGTTACACCTAACCTTGTTGATTTGCAGTTGTTATTTGAAGATGAGACAGTGAGACAGTGGATGATAGAGACTGGGAAGGAATTGATATCAGAACTTATGTGGAGAGCTGAGAAGGTATAGTGTGCACTACATGTTGAGATCTTACAAGCATTAGGTACACAGCCCTTTAGCATACAAACAGTTGAGTGGTTTCAGATTCATTCACAGATTGGATTTAATTTTGCTATTTAGTGTTAACCTTCTACTTGCTGAAGAAGACTTTTGGTACCAAATCTAGATCTGTATTTGCTATAGGATTACACAGCTTTATACAGCCATGTATAATGTCCTTGAGGCGATAGCACTAGGAAGTCATGCGGATTTCCTTTTGAATTAGCAGGTCTGGTCTGTTTTTTTCTTTCAAACTTCTTGTGGTCAAAATTAAAGTTCAATGCTTTCGTTCATCAGTTCCAGTTTTCTAAAATATATATGTTACACGAATGAAGCATACACTATAATTGTTTTATTTCTGCAGGATCCTAAGGACTTTCAACAAGCGTTTGAAGACATGTTGAGATATTGTGAAGACTCCAACAACTGGGAGAGTATGGCTGAGGAGCTGAGGGCCAGGGGGGTATGTCCTAAAAATCTTTCAAACTCAAAGTTCAAACACGCTAATTTGTAGCATGCACAGTCCAGCGGTTAGTGACACTGCCTCTGGACCAGGAGGTTCGGAGTTTGAATCCCGGCTGTTACACTCACATGACATGTACGCTACTGGAAAGGGCTGTAATCCTTGGGAAGAGATGTTAAGGCATGGTCCACTTTTCAATGCTGAATAATTTGCTAATAAGCTGGGTAATTTCCTGGTACATATACAATAAATGTACCTGCAATACTCAGATACTGTGCATACAGTAGCATCTGTCTTCTGTGTTATGACCAGTGAGGGAGTACAAAATGTAGCTCTTCAGTGAGCTAAACTCATTTGAGATCATTTTCACATTCTTTTACTTTCTCAAGTGATCTATTAGTAACTGTTAGATATTTTGCTATCAAGTTTCATGCAGGTTTTTGTGTAATTTGCGCTAATTGGTCTTTTGCTTGTATGTTCCAGGTGATGTGTTTGTCTTTCTATGATGTAGTGCTAGACTTTATCCTGTTGGACGCGTTTGACGACTTGGCCAATCCGCCATCTTCAGTGACGGCTGTGGTGCAGAACAGATGGCTCTCTAACGGGTTCAAGGAGACGGTGAGTAACAGTCACATAGATATCATCTAGAAATAACATTTCATTAACAGATACTAAAATGCACATTAGAAATTTTCTATATGTGCTATTGTTATGCTCATCAAGCACACAGATTATCATCCATTGTACATCTAGTCTATTACTGTAACAGTATTACTGTACTTCTTCTGAAATCTTGATTAAAACACTGTGAAGGAAAAATGTTACTAGAGTAGGCATCCTTCAACAATTGTGACTATGCCGCATAGTATTGCCATACAATTTATGTTACAGTCTTTCATCTGCAAAATATCATTCAAGAATTTTCCTTCTTGTGTACACATTGAAATGTTCAGTATTTCCTTGATTGAAACCACTGTAAAGGAAAAATGTTAGGCATCCTTGAACAATTATGAATAAGCCAGACAATACATGTTACTGTGAGTCTTTCATCTGTAAAATATTATTCAAAAATTTTCTTGTTGTTTTGATGTAACCTGTTGTTGGGTCTGTTCCAGGCCCTGGCTACCGCTGTCTGGTCGGTGCTCAAGGCAAAACGCAGAATGCTGCTGGTAAGTAAATGTAGAGGGTACATGTAGTTACGTCATAGACGGTGTTGCTAGTAATGATAGAGTTTTAATTTTCATCTCAATATTATTAACCCCAGATATACCATCTACTTGTTTTATTTTTATATAGTCCACTTGATATACATGTTTTTGTAATTTGTTAGAGTGATGAATTATGAAAGATGAAGAATGATGAATTATGTTACTAGTACTTGTGTCAAAAGTGAACCTGTTCTTTCTGTTCAAGTTGCAGTTTGCCTAATTGTAATTGCTTGTACAAGGTAGTCTTTTTAATGGTCATGTTACAAATTAAGATACTAGTACCTTTGTTGTAAGTGTCTTGAATGTTCTAAACTGTGCCTGCAATAGTATTGAGTGTATGTAACACATGGTACATTTGTTCAGTGTTCCACGTATGTTCTTTTCAATGCCCTCTCGGTGCCTCTTTTATGCAGAATGAGGTAAACAATTTCATCACCAACCCTGTATTTAATATAATTATAATAATATCTCAGTGAGGGATCCATTCTCAGGTCTGATTGATCTTCCAATTGTATTTCTCCTTCTAGTGAATCAGATATATTATTATTATTATTTGAATGTAACTGTAATAATCTTAGCCTTTGATGGAAAAGCAGCCCTTAATGCAACTGGATATTACCCCCGGAGGGCTCAAAACATATTTCACGACCTTGACTTTCATCTCGCACTTACATGTACCAATTTTCCTTCACTTTCTGGTCCTCTGAACTACTTCAGAGTACTTCCTTGATCTACCAAGCCAGATCCTTTTTATACATGTAAAATACAGTCAAACCAGGTCTAAAAAACCACTCAAGGGAGAGGGGTTTGCTGACCGGGAAATTTGTGGGAAGACCGGAAAACATTTGCACAATATACACCTTAGTTCCCAAGAAAAACGTATCTTCAAGAATGCTGCTCATAAGTAAATCATAGGGGTAGTCACATCATAGACAGTGTTGCTAGTAATGACAGTAAGTCAGTAACCTCCATATACAGTTCAAAGGTTTTGCCTGTACTGTTATTATATATAAGTACACATAACATGATGCATTTATGCACATATGTCCTGCAAGAAGGGGTCAGTTTTCAAGGAGAAATCCTAAAAGGCAGTAACAGTAGGAATAGACCTTTCATCACCCAAGAGACAGTATCAAATATTCGCAGTCTGTCAAACTGTATGAGGTCAATATGGTTTTTATAGTGATAGCTGGCTTTTAAAAATGCATTTTGGCTGTACAAATGTTCCAATTTAGAATGGCAAGGATTAGTGATTGATTTTCGAGGAAAGTGCAGTTATAACAGCCACATATAGGTGATAATGTGAAGGCTTTTAGCAGAAATGTGTTCAGCTGGCAACCCTGGAACAGAATTAAGCCATTGTCATCACCATCACAACCCAGACTCACTGAAGAATTGAACACATTTCTCAGACTTACGAATATAGTTGTGTGACCCATTAAACCCTGCAGCTTCTGTACTTCCGTAATCAGATTCATTTATTCTTTTGGCTGCTGCACTACTTGAAGCCAACTCCACCCGACTCGTCAGAGGTTAATGCAAAGGGCTTAGCTTTAGTGACATTAGCAGGGAGAACGCAGGTGCAAGTTTCAAAGTATGGATAGAAAGGTGTATATTATTTGCAATTTGGAGACCTTAACATATTGTGCTTGATGATGCGAATGCTGCAGCAGCAATTTGAACTTCAAGATAAGTAGTTTGTTTTTTTAGGTCTAGTTTGATTTTCCTTGTGTTTGATGCCATGTCTCAATCCTCTGTTCGTCTGCTCTTATATGTACAAGTAATATGGACCAGAAGCCTGAATTAAAGAATAAATAATAAAATAGAATAAACTGTATGACTGTTTGCATTTTCAGTACCCGGATGGTTTTATCGCACACTTCTACGCTATCTCGGAGCACGTGAGTCCTGTCCTGGCCTGGGGGTTTCTGGGTACAGACGAGGAACTCAACCAACTCTGCTATTTCTTCAAGGTAAAAAGGGGGAAAGTTGTCTTTTGTTGTGACATTCAAGTATTTTTACAGGTGACACCAAGGGGCATACATGTATAGGACAGTATGTAATTTGTATGTCTTATGTTTTAATGTCCGGGAAGATTACATGTAGCTGCTTACAAAATTAATGTAATGTCTGCTAACGGACACAATAAAGTATCCAAGTATAGGACATTATTCAATGAGTTTTACGATGCTTAATTCTGTCCACTAGCCAAAGGTTGGTTTAACTGGGATAGTTTGGCACCAGTTCTGCATTCTCTCATGCAGAGCTCTCCCTTGACAACCCATTATCCCAAGGCTTTATGCACTTTCCATCCCTCCCCATGGTAGACTTAGACAACGTTGCCAACAAATCACTTTTCTAAAGTACATAATACAACGGCACCACAGAGACTGCAACAGCTACAGTATCTTCTAAAGCAGATTGCCAACCTTGCCTGAAACAGAACAGACTGGAGAAAACTCAATTAGCAGCAGACAGAAGAAGGAGAAAAAGATTGATGTAGGATAGCTTTGCATACTAGGAGAATGAATCCCAAGCTAAGGCTAGCATATCTCTGTGGGACAGTTGTGCAGGGGAGGATGCAGTTCTAATGTTCATTTTTGGCTCAGGGGAGGAGCTTTTGGTAAAGTGCTGCGATCGAGTTGAAAATATTTTTAAAATTCCGCCAATGCATTCCCTAGGGAATTGCTTTTCGCACATAGAAAGGAGGAAATCTAATGGTTAGCTTGGAGCATTAAACATGTGGTGATTTGTACATTTTTTCGCTACACTTGTATTTCAAATAAGTTCTCTATACGTTGCTAACGACTAAAATGTCAGAACTGTTTGTCGATTATTTTGATAACTTCATTCAATAATTGTCTCTTGTAACAGGACCAGGTTCAAGGCTTCATCACAGATGTGTTTGACTTTGAGAAGACTCGTTATTCCTCTGTGCAAGAAATGGCGGATGACATCATGTACCTGGCCAGACAGCGAAGAAGCCTCCTGCAGGAGAGACTGTCCATAGTGTCCTCCTCCCCACACACACCAGAACATGTAAACGGGGTGATCAGTTCAGTCGAGGAAGAGGAGACGATACATGTGGATACAACTCTTGAGACTGTAGAGTAGGACATGATCAATAAGTGAACGTTATCTCAAACGCAAGCACGTCGGCAGAACGTACTGCACTTGTGCGAAAACCGTTATGTATTGCGCATAGCACTTTGGCAGAACGTCTCATATAAGGTCGTATTCGGGTATATAAGGTTAACATCCGTCAGTAGTTTCCAAATGTTATGTGGGAAAAGATATCTAATGCAACAGGCAAAATTCTGATGCAACGTTGACCAAAAATTTAACGGAAACCGTGAAAAATTAGGCTTTTGCGCAGGCGCAGTACGTTCAGCCGACATGCTGTTGATGCATATGTTTATCTCAAAATATTTGCGGTAGTTTTAAATAAATGTATGTTCTCTGTTTTTGCAGAGACCTCTGCACTGCAAAATCAAATGCACTGTGTGTGCCCACCACAAAATTGAAACACCCCTTTTCTCATCTAATGTGAAATCAGGTGCCCTTGAATGACCTGAATTGAATGAAATGAATTACACAGTACAGTATACAGTATATCTTAGTGATTCACTCTGAAGTAGTCCAAAATGTGTAGGGCACCCTTTGTAATGCAAGTCTTCAACATTATAAACAATGCAACTCTTTTTATTCAGAAAAATTGCTTTTTGTATTTTTTATCACCATTTTATGTCACAACAGACATGTTGATTGGCAGTTTGTATGTTTAGCTAGTGTTCGCTTTGATATTTGTGAAATGTTTAGTACTATAACACTCTTTTCTTTGACTTAATGTAAATACAATTGTTGAAAAGAGTTTGTGTAAATACATGATGTAAAACTATAAGCTGTTGACGTACATTTCATTCAGAAGAACCAACCAAGGCAAACTGCACTTTTTGAGTGTAGTATGAAAAATAAAAGAAGCAAAATTCAGAGATGATATGTGATTTCTGTCATGCTTGTAATCGCATGTATTGTTTGCATGATGTTAGATAAGGTAACCAAACCAATGACATTCTCACAAATAACACAACTGCATCAGTTTTGGTCCAGCCAGTTTATTCTGAAATGCCAGTGCCTTCACATAGTCACATACGTCAAAAATAGAACATTTATTTTATAGTACACAAGATATTTATTGCTCTATATATGTTCAACATGGAATAATGACATCCAAAATATCTTTAAATGTCCATTAATATTGTTCAAAATCATTCGAATTCCTTCTCACAACTTCCAGCTGCAGTTAATACTTTTCAAAAGCAAGCTTAAACCTATCCCTCGCCTGGATGCCCCGGCTTGACACAAAACTCCCTTTGACCAGGGGAAGCCACAAGCCCCGATCCTAGAGTTAGCACCTGGGGGTCTAAGTTATCTCTCTTCCAGTATATCTGAGGGTGTGTCTAAGGTAAAATTTTCGCAGCCGAGGACTTAGTTAGCCTGTATACTGCCTCTGGCAACAGTCTGGCACCCAGACTAAGCTACGTGTACCCCAGGTTACAATCTTTGAGTAGATTTTAGGCTTAGGCCACACTTACACCGATGCCGGTAGGAGGAGTAAGGTGTAGCCCCCAGCCGGTGTTGAGCCAAATCCTTGAGCCACCTACGTGAGAGGGTTGGTGTTAGGGTTAGGGTTGGGATCATTGTTCAGGACTAGGGTTAGACTTACGATTAGAGTTAGGTTAGGTTCAATCTCCCATATCACGACTAAAGCCCTCCCGCCCCTTGTCTCATATATATATATATCAGAAACCCCCAAGTAGTGTGAAGTCATGTATTTGGCAGGATCATGTATTTGGCTTGACACCGGGCTCTGCCCTGGTCACAATCAGACACCTTTTACATTCAGAAAAATTCTCTTATCGCTAACCCACAGTGGCACTCGGCTTGTAAGTGTGCCCTAAGCAGTACTCTAGCGTGAGTATGAGTTAAGCAAGGGTGTTACACCGCCAAAACGTTAATCTACCAATGAATACAGAGCAGCGTTTCACTCCAAGACGGTCTAGCCCTAGCCAGCACATGGCCAGTTATACCTATAGATATACTGGGTAGAGCAACTTCACGCAACAGATGGCTATAGCATTCAATTTCTTCCCAACATAGAATATCCAGCCGTGTAAAACTATCTAGATCAGTACGGCGTGCCGAGTATGAACCACGTTATATCTTTCACAAGCTTAAAAGCGCGTTTCAGGAAGTGGTGGAATTATAGGGTTATGCTATGACTAGCTCTAACCTCTGAAAGTCGCGGCGCTAGTAAATTATGGACTAAGTCTTAGAGTCTTGTATCACCAATGGCGCATGATAACATTCAACCATAACCATAATACGCAAACGGCCAAAGACGATTGAAAACTCACACCCTTCTGATGCCACGGAACAGTAATCCTTACAAATCATACTGCCAGTTCCTGATTATTGAATTTAAATCAAATTCTTCCAATGACGTCACAACTAACACGCGTACGGAATGAAAAACATGGAATATCTTCTCATTATCTGGATGCTAGTTAGTTACTGCAACCCATCGTGTCTATGATAAAAACGGTAATATCTCTTGGTTATTTTGATAACATACAACAACAGATGCCACACATAAAATACAGCACATCTAACGTTAAATATTACATTTTGTCTACTAAATCAGAGATAACATCAATATAACTTAAGTCATTGGAATCTACTCCTGATCTCATCTATCCCTTCGTCTAATTTTCTCACCGTTTGGGCACCAAAGAATGCCTGACAACCAGTTTTCTCTCCTTCTCGGTTTTCTGTTCTTCTTAGTACATTGTACTACATTTGTACCTTGGCGGTCCATTCTCTGATAATATTATTCTCCCATGCTTAACATGATAGTTCTTATTAGTCCTGGCCACAATCTTAAACGGATGAGAAATTGATTGAGCGTTGGGAGCCCTGCCATCATGTACATGTCAATCCAAATATATTCTCAAATCTTGTCTTTCTGTCAGCTAGCGTCCTTACATAAACCTTAACAGTTCTGCCATCTACTTGCATTGCAAGAAGTACTAGACAATATTCAATTATATGGAAACTACACCGAGTGAATATAAATGTCTCAAAAGACAGTTTTAGCAGTCAATTTCAAAACGTTTCACTTCACACAGTCCCGATTTTGACTGAATATGATTAAGCACGTCATGGAATTTAAAAATACAAACACAAACGTTAATATAACGGTCGCTCAGTTTTCCACCGAGGCCTGAAACGCTGCCATGATTTTAGACCGCCTGGCAACAGAGCGCTGGACAGCTCAAAATAACAATTCCTCAAAGCTCGGTTTCTCCCTAATTGATTAGAGGAAAACGCCTTGGTTTCGGCCCAACACATGCTATCAAAGCACGCAAACATCTCTCTCTATATAGCTAGCAAACATAAATGGAAAATGTACATCTCTTTGAATAATTGTAGACAAATCAACCACCAAAACCAAGCAATGTATAGCGGTCAGGTGCATGCAAAAAATGATGTGTGTATTCTACACATGCATTAAAACAGTGTAGCTCATTCCAGCTGGGTTATTGGCCTCAGGTAACACTACCCAGACCTCCACATGCACATACATGTAATACCAAATAAAACCCTTTTCAGAACCAAAGGGCATGGTTGTATTACCGTATTTCGTCAGTATAATATGTTATACAGTGTACGCCATGCATGGCAAGCGCACCTCAGAGAGAATCTACAAAAAGCACGGAATCGAAGTATTGAATATCCTAATGGCCTACAGGATAAAACTAAAGGAAGGCTGATGCAGTGTGGTTTTAGATTAAACCTCCTTGGGTGTACCAAGGTCAGATTAGAAAGGCACATTCTTAGCAGTCGTATATTGGTACGCCAGAACGCACACTGGCCACTACATGTATTTCGTTTGAATCCGGCTGCACTGAGTGCGTGAAGTTACAGGAATAAATAGATAAATCCGTTCATAATGTCGTCTACCAACACATATGAACTTCCAGCACGTGCGGCGCGTGCTAACACCAAAATACAAATTTAAGTTAAAATTAAAGTCACTAAGGACTGTACCCATCCACTTTAACCCTACCTAGACCGGGCTTTTTTGACATGGGGGGGACCGGGGGGGGGGTCTTTGTACCCCCCTAACGAACTCGCGAACGGTAAGTCGTATGACCACCAAATTTTCAGAGAATGGTGTACTAGTACAAATTTATCATATCTACAATTTTTATGTCGTTATGATGTAATATGACGTCATTATGACGTCATTAATGTGATTTTATTGGCCAAAACCGTCTAAATAGGTTTTCCCTGAAAACTTAAATGGTATTCAACATAACTGTACCAAAAGTGTTTATGACAGAATATTATGATGTACTAAGTCTTATGTTGCCCGTAGCAAGACCGGTGACGTCATACAATGACGTCATGCATATTTAAGATATCCGCCATCTTGGATCATCAATCTTGAATTTTCAAAATTAGTTTTTTTCATGATAAAGCCTAAAATACATCGTAAACATACTAAAGACCTTCATTTAAACCTTTTTGGAAAAAGAAATGGAAGTATTGATGAAATTTTAATGAAAATAACCTGTATATACCTGTTCTAATGAAATGGCCCGCCATCTTGGATTTTGGCCAATGACGTCATCAAATTAGCATAAATTATGCATATTTAATGATAAAATTTACATAAAATTATATGGGATGTTATTAATATTAGAAACCATGAGTAACTTGACATAAAACCCATAAAATTCTATTGTTGAAACAAAAAGTACTAAATTTAGCAAAAAATGCCTGTCAGAAACCCGTTGCCATGGCAACACAAAAAATCATTATCTTATTCCAATGATAGAGAATTGTTGCCAACAATATTTTAGGAAAAGTCACCAAGTTTGGCCGTTCTACGGCTAGCCGTTCAGACGCTAGGTGACATCAAAGTTGCCGCGGGCACTTTTAGCCCCCCCCCCGGTCTAGGTAGGGTTAAACAAGAAAAAATTCCAGTACATGTACCTTTAAAATGGAGACTGAGAACGTATCTCAGTAAAATTCAATCGGCAGAAAAGTTGACCTTCCAACAAGAACAAAAGGTGTCATGTACAGTCCATGACATTATATCCAGGTTCAATGTACCAGTGGCAAGAAAAACAGACGCTATATACAGTATATACAAACTCAATGTATTTGGAAATTTCGTCCAGCACTTTTCGATGCCCAAAATGAACGGCGAACCGAGGTTTATGAACCCGCCAAAAGACCGCACAATGACATTCTACAGAACGTCCTTGGCCTGCAACTGTGGCCAGCTTAGCAACAACCATTCGAACTCTAATCTCCAAGCAGATCCCTTTAGATGGCAAGACAGTATCCATAAGCCAGAGAAGGTACAAGCTTTCGGTGGCAAGACCGTATCCATTAGCCAGAGAAGGTCGCCGGCGACCGACGGTTAGCGAAATTTAAAAAAAAACGGCCATATATTAAAAGCTAACGGTCATTCCCCCATGCACCTCAGCTTGGAGAGTGCTCCAGGCCTATACGTCCAGAACCCCTTTAAATATCATATCACAAACAAATAAAATCGCGCGCTAAGGCAACATCTACGACACATCGGCATAACCTGTAAGTTGATCCGTTCCAATCTCTAGATAACTTTTTTTCATCACGGCCGTCCCAGGCCCTACTAAACTTTAATGTGTAAATGGATTTTTGTTTGAAGGCTTCTTAGAAATGTCCACGCGGGGGTAAGCTGGTCCGGGAAAAGCGCTCTGACACAGGAAAGAACACAGCACTGGAAGGGCAGTGGGGGACGTCCGGAAATAGTCCCCAGATTACCACCAATGCTTATGACAAACACTTGGCTCAAAGCTCAAGTGTCAGTCCGCCTTAAACTGAGGTCACATTTCCAACGGGGCCCGCGCGGCATGTCCCCGATCTAGACGCCGGCCGGCGTCATGAAGCCCGGAGTACGCTGTCTGTCATGGTCACAATTAGGTTACGGCTTCGTCCCGGCGTATTTTTCTTCGGAGTGATTTTAAGTTCGAGTTAAAATCAACTCGACACCCGCACGGGGCCAAAAAAAAAGACCGGCAGCCGTCGATAGTGAAAAAAAAAGCCCGCCAGGGCGCCGGGAGGCCCCGGTTTTGAATTGTGACCCATCATATTACGAAAAGCCATGGGACCTGCCCATCCCAACGTGATAGATTGGTTAACCAGAGATTTTAAAAAAATCATTTGCACGTCTTGATAAGATAGCAACGTAGCTGAATTGCCTCGCCGTAGTCTGGCTTAATAAATGAATAAATAAATAAAATTACATCATGCTGAAAAGACGGAAACTACTTGACACAGGCCTGCTAGGCTACTCATGAGAAAAAATGAGAAGACCTCAACAAGTACAAGTAGTAAGTAGTATACTAGTATAGCTATACTAGTATGGCTATCACATTTCAAAATTTACTGTATTCTATGCGGTCCAATATCTGGCCACCACCGGACGCACTTGTTAAAGGCAACATACGCCATGAGTCCCTGTGATCTTCCAAACTATGGAATGAGGCTGTTCTATACACACATATCAGGGGCCCGGCCTCTGAAATAGTAGGCGCGTTGCCCGGACTAATGCTAAGGTCACAGTTATACCGGTGAAGTCTGGAGGACTTACATCGGCTGTACGTCGTGGCCACAATCAAGATTTCTTCACACTGGCAGTCTAGAACTACCTGTTTCTGGGGTGCACCGGCGGGCAGTTGGAAAATTTTCGTTCTTTACAGCTGATCAATGATGTCGAAACTGTTGGTACGTACTGGGAGGGGAACTGTCGGAACTATCGCGAGTAGGTAACGGTGTATTTTTGTTACGGTGTATTTTGTGATTTTTACCCCCGTTTTGAAAAAAAAATTGAAGAGAGCCCGGCAGCAGCCACGCCCGAAAGTCAAATCAATCAATCAAACAAACAAACAAACAAACAAAACAGACAAACAAACAGCCCATGAACTACCCGGTGGGACCCCGTTTTTCCAATTGTGACCCAAGCATTAGTTACAGGTTTACAGGCTGTTCAGGTCTGTGCCCACATCTGCGCCAGGTTCCACGCGGTTCTTTCTGCAGCACACGTTGTAGACGCCGCAGATGACCGACACGGCGATGTCCGACAGGGCGTTGCGGAAGGACTGCTGCAGGAAGCTGTACACCACCACGTCCAGGCACGTGTTGAAGCACGTCACCCAGTACGACCAGAAGGTGAAGGCCGGGGGGACGGGGACGTCCGTGAACTCGCGGAGCAGGAGCGCACAGGAGTAGGGCAGGTACAGGAGGAGCTGGCCGATGGTCAACAGCAGCACCACCTTGGCGTACCTTCTGTCGAGGGCCTCGTCGCCGCCGTTCTGGGCTGGCTGCGGCGCGGCAGGGACCGGGGGAGCGACGGGCGCCAGGTTGATGTGGAACACGCTGGGCTGTGCAGGCGGCGCGTCTTGGTGGCCGCACAGCGCTTTGAGGACGAGGATGACACAAAAGAGCGCGGCGGTACCGGCGGTGAAGAACAGGACAAAGGAGACAACACTAAACCATACGAACGTGTTGAGGTCGAAGACGGGCCGTGCGATGAGCGGGTCGTACTCCACTGGCACGCCGTACACGGCGGCGAAGGTGTACCAGGACAGGACGCCGATCCAGGCGACGAACATGAACAGCTTCGACTTCCGCCCGGAGAGCCCACAGCCACTGCTCAGGACGTAGTGTCGGTCGAGGTTCAGGCCTGAAACGGGCAAAGCAACGAGGGAATTGATACGTGTATTACAGGGTTATAGCCAGCGTCCGTACCGTCATATTTGACGGAATTTTGTTGCTCGTGACGGAAAAAATTTTTGCCCATTCCGTGATGTTTTTCGGACAAAAATCCAGGCGTGTAAACTGTTAAGATATGGACAGAGCTTCAATTTGTCAAAGGTTTCCAGGAAATTTAGTGCTGCATGATGTATATTGTGCAGCCATCGACAGTTTAATCGACTTTCGGTTTAGAAAAATATCACTAACTGCACTGAACGCTTCAAAAAAAGCTATGGCATCTTGTTTCAATCCAAGACACACCTGTAGTTTACAAAAATCGCTGTTCACTACGCCTGAACATGTAGTTCACAAAACACACCACACTACAAAACCACACACGCTTCCTTGGCGAATGTAAAAAGACGTGAATATGAGTTTAAGTCCTATCCGAACAGAGGGATAACAGGCTAACAGAAGGAAAGACGAAAGTGACTGCGAATTGAAATGCTCAACATTAACGAAGAATCCCCACTTGCAATCCCTACTGTTACGTGTACAAAGGTGGAGTGGAGATGGAAGAAATTGAGTGGGCGAATTTGGAATGCGAATTGAAATGCTTAGCCTTTTAAAGCGGCACTATTGACGGAGTTGGTATAGCCTTTCTCAAATATTTTGCTTTGAAAACGTTAAGCCATGGCTCAACGACATCACATTTTTTGTTCTCAGTGATAGCTATAACAGTTCAGTATGCACGACAGCAACACTGTTCAATGTTAAATATACTATGTATAGTCTCATCGTAACAACGTAGCTATATATAAATGTACAAAGAGTCCATCGAGGGTTCCACGTGCACTCTACAATGTAGACGTTAATTGTACATACTTTCGCCTTTCATCTCAGCAGCGGATTGAACAACATCCCAATTGCTGTTACGTTCCCAGAGCATTGCCTTTAACATTTTAGAATAATACCAATGGCGTTGGTTTACGCCAAACGACTCATTAGGGAGATACTAGAAACGCTAGCACTCAAAAAATCAAAGTGAATCTTAAGGAAATCACTTTGGAGATTTCGCCCATTCCCTCACCGCTTCCAGCTACTTCATACTTTATAGTAATAACCATGCGTCTAACAATCAAACGTTTAGTATAGTATAGTATAGTATAGTATAGTATAGTGTAGTATAGTATAGTATAGTATAGTATAGTATAGTATAGTATAGTATAGTATAGTATATAGTATAGTATAGTTACTGTATAGAAAAAGTAAAATTGAAACGTCTTAAATAAGCTTTAAAAAGAAAATTGGATCACAATGGTTCCAGGATGATTAGATTGGTCGACAAAAAAAATTAAATGAATAATGAATGGACATTTACGGAGTAAGTCTTAAGGAAAGACGGACGGGGATCAGAAAAAAAAAACATATGGAATCAAGAAAATATTTTCCAACACATCAAAGTTGAAACCAATTCCATTTATCTAATATCCCGATCCATTAATAGCTAAATTTACAGGTTCTAAAATTGTAAGATTTCCTATAGGTCACCTAGAGGCTGAACAGCCACTCTAGATCAAAGGTTGCTTGATCCTCACGGCGCGATCACATTCCCCATACGGCTTTGATATAGCAGGATTTTCAAGGTCGCCGTGCCTGGAACCTTGAACCGGCAGCAAGGATCTAATTTACAGGGTTTCCGTAACAAGACAACTGAATCTGTACGACTTCATGATACACGATGATACGGCCATTCCAAGATCTAGAATGACTTCACTTTGCGATCGCATGCACGACAAATGTGCCAAAGCCCGTGGTAACTGGAGAAATATTGACTTGAGGAGAAATTTAAAGAAGTAACTCAGAGAGATACTGACGAGAAAGAAGCAGTGAACTCATTGAATCCTCTTAAATAGATAAAACAACGTTGGATTTGAAGTAGATTAACATGTTACCAGACGTCGCTAGCTAGATTGTTGGAAAGCCTGGCCACACATACGATACTGACACATAAAGACATAACGTTACATACCGGCCAGGGCTATGGCTGTGAGTGTGTGAAACGAGCACTCTGCCGTCGCGATGATTTTGGCCCAGTAGTCGGCGTAGATCCACCGCCCGGCTTCGGCAGGGGCTATGGACACGGCGAACGACACCCCCAGCAGCAGGTCGGAGCACGCCATGGAGAAGACGAAGTGTCGGCCGGCTGGGGGGAACGTCTGCCGCCACCCGGAGGACAGGACCACCAGCACGTTCCCTAGGATCGCCAGCAGGGCCTCGGTGATGATCACACCCGGCTCCACTGGCAAGGCCAGCGTCTCCGGCGATGGCTCGATCTCGAGAGAGCAATTCGTCACGGTGGAATTATTGAGAAAACTCATGTTTCGGTGTGTGATTTATCGCGCCGGCTTCAGATCTACATCTGCGGGTACGCACACCTGGTGTAGGCGAAGGCGAAATGTGACGGCGTACGTAGTAACAGTGAGCAATTATGCGCAGAATCTTACCTGGGGGCGGCCTTAATGGGACGTGCGTTTCTCTTGACGCAACGTCCAATTTGACACACGCTGATACGCTACTGCTGTCGCTACGCGTGTAGATTGAAGAAGAAGAACACTTAACCAGTGACTTCAGCAGGCAATGATAGCAATTCCCATGATTTATTATCAGTTGAAATCGTTATATAACATATGCAGTATACACACTGTACGTAAATGGGATCAGGCCTGAGCTAAGTGGTGTGATGTGCCACATCACTTGCTAAGGTCAGCTAAGCAAGGTCGTTGTAGCGATTGGTAGTCTGGCGACACAGAACATACTCTAAAAACAAGATTTCTTGAACATCAACGTTGGAGGTCTGCATTTATGCTGTAGGCATGTGAGCATATTCACTGTTAGATGGACTTTGAATATAAACATCGGCAATTAAAACACAGAACCTTTCTCCTTATGTCTGGGAGAAATACTAGTAAGTAAGCCATACAAACACCTTTCAATAGGACATGAAATACATGTAGATTACTCTGTAATTCTAAACCACAGGACTGGTGAGAACTGATATATTATCTACGAAAACACTTGTGCTTTAGGTGAAGACATTTGGTTACCAGATCTTTACAATGGTGTTCCTGTCTAGCTCAACTTTTATCTTCAAAAAACATCTTGCAAGCTCAGGATCCTTGACATTGGAGGAAATATGCCTTAGGCCTAGAAAACCATGTGCTGAAGTAGTCTGTGGCACAACCTCTTGCTGCTGATTGGCTATCAGTTGGGCAGGTATACATGTACATGTAGCTACAGGAGGGAGTGAGTTAGGTACATGCTGAAGCACCTCAGAAGTCCATGTCATCATAAACAACCTGTGCTCTTCTGTCTTTGTGGTTCAGACCCTTGGGACCCTGTTGACCAGATGCTGAAAATGAAATATATAAAAAAACATGTAATAACTGTAAATAAAAACAAGACATATCAATGTGTGAATAGGAAAAAAATATTGTGATACCATTTCTATCGTGAGGTTTACAATGCCTTGGTTGAAAAAAGCAGTCATTGCACAGGTTGTACAGGCAACAAGTGCATTTGTTGTTGCTACTTAAGAACACAGAAATGGTGCTAATTTATTCAGAGATCTCTACAAGGTTTGGTTTATAATTTTCTGTCCACTGTAATCTGTACTTTAGATTTAATATAAAAACACATGAAATAGGCATTCACATTTTCCATAGAAACCATGATATTTTCTTCTATCAAAATGCAGTTATAGGTGTCTCTAAAACAGATCTGACAATAGAAACTAAAGGAAATGGAATAGTGGCAGCATAATGGAGAGAGAGAGAGAGAAACTCCAGAGTGCTGACCTAGCCCTCCCCATGGAGACTTGGTATTGCCCACATCTATGACAGGCTGTCTTCTGGCCAGCATGACCTTCAGCAAGACTCCTGACGCCATGGTGCCATGCATCTGCCAGGGAGGGAAAGAAACACAAGGAAATTAAAAAAAAAACATTTGGCATGCGGGTAGAGTGCTCGCCTTGCATTTGGTTGGTCATGAGTTTGATCCCAGCCGAGTCATACACTTTTAAAATGGTACATACTGTTTTCTCTGCTTAGCACTCAGCATTTGAGAAAGAGTATGGGAGTTGAACACACACCACTACCAGCGGACTAGCCCCCTGCTGTAGTGATTGCACTGATGTGTGGCCCAAGGGCTACAGAAACGGAGATGGGCGCCATCATATTTGACCGCACTAATGGTTGTGGGGAGGACTTTAACTTTTAACTGTCTATATGAACACTGAATAATCATTTGCAGTTTGAAGGCTTACAAGTGTATCTAAATCAACTTTAGTGATAGTCTTAGATTATTTGATGTAACGTAGATGGCAGGTATAGATAGGTATGTGATTGATCCCTTAGCTTTCTTAAAGTTTGTGAATCATACGTGGATATGACTATGCCCTTACCAGTATGCACTTAACTTTTGTTCACTTAAGTGTTTGAATGTTTTATGGACTTTTAGATGTGTTGTAAAGGTCTTACCTCATTGATGGCTTCATCTGCTGACTCTTGCTTCTCAAAACTAACAAAACCACAGCTGTAAGAGGGGAAATACACAAAGCTTTTAACACAAAGTATTATCTACATGTATTCTCTTCTGTCACAAAGCTTTTAACACAATGGATTATCTACTCTCTTCTGTCTTGAGTGACTCAACTAGCTAGAAAATCAATGAATGCATTGACAGGCCCATCTACAATGTGCCCCTAAATATACCTTAATAGATTTGAAAGTGTTGCTGAGTGATCTCAGTGTAAATTAAATGACGCAAGTCAGAGTGCTGCCATCATTGTGATGCGCAAATCTTAAAGGTCAATACCAACTTCTTAACACTCTCTCTTTCTGGTTTAACGTCTTTTGTTCCCTGTAACCCGTGGGTTAGACATGTTTGCACTCTAATGCTGTAGCTTGATGGTACATGTAACTCGCCATAATGTGGTAGCAAAATGGAAGGTCAACCACTTAACAACCCTTAAAAGAGCTCACTTCTTGTCTAGTTCCATGCTGATGTTGATGATGTTGCCAAAGTTTGAGAAGCTTTTCTTCAGGAGGTCCTCGGTGATGCCGTGGCCGTGCACATACAGGGTGTTGCCTTTCCTCGGCTCCCGGCGGTCTCTGTCATCAAAACTGGACGACGCTGATGATTAACAGCAACATTTTGGGAATGGAATCATTTCAATCAATAGATAATGTCGTTTATTCTCATAAAAAAACCCCATCAAAATGTAATATGATTCACTAGCCATCCTACTCACAATGGAAACCTGTACATAACAGTTGTCCAGCACCAAGGACAGGGAAGTATCATGAAATATTACAGTGGGTAACCAATCAGCACCAAGGACAGGGAAGTATCACGAAATCTTACAGGGGGTAACCAATCAGAACCAAGGACAGGGAAGTATCATGAAATCTTTCAATGGGTAACCAATCAGCACCTCTCTCTCTCAATCAGAACCAAGGACAAGGTTATCTTATTGGTTAGCCAAAGTGAGACTAACTCTCTTGCAATTCCTTGTCCCTGTATAACACTGCCCCATGCACATTTATATTGGGTCCCATCCTTTTTAAATTTATGGACATCAGCCAGGCTACTTGGGCACTGGATGTTTAAAAACTTCTTTCCATCCTTGACTGCCATATTTCTACATTCAGAAACAATCAATAGCATTCAGCAATTTCCTTACAGTGTCAAATTGTGTCGTGCATTTGTAGTTCTGACTGAAAACACAAAAAACAGTGTCCCTAGTCTATGCGTATGTGGTTACTTACCTCTTCTTTCAAAATCATTGTCATTCAAGTCACCTCCCCGAACAAAGCTGTGAAATCACATTAAACAGGAAAGTAAAAAATCTTTATTTCTCTTAAATGTGAAACAACATCCTATATAAAAGAAGCATGTATGTATTATCATGTGCTGTTGTTTCAATCAGTTAAACCTACATATTTGAAGAATATTCCTCAATCAATGAATATTTAAACTTTGATAGATATTGTAATCATATAATTTGACTCAACACATACCAAATCACAATATGCACTTTTAAACACAGAGAGTGATGTTTACCTGTCATAAAGACCCCTTACACCTCTGCTGCTTCCCTGTGCAATTCAAAATACATGTACAACAGATCAGAACAATTCTCCATCCAAAGGATATTATATCGATTTGCGTAAGTAGTATATTAAACAAACAAAACTTTGTAAAATTCCATCTCTTAAAAAGCCATATAACCCAGAGATGATAAAGTCTCCCTATTGATTTCATTTCCTTTGAGGTAATAAACTACAAATAGTGGAAAAAAGGTACATCAATATATATATAATGCTAAAAAGAGATAGAAACAACCAGTTCACAGAATTTGAAGAGATTTTCTGACAGACAAACGTCTCTGTGAGTTCTGATAGAAAATCCCAGCTGTCAGAAAAGTGCGGTAATGTCAGAAAATATTTTGATCTGCCAGACTCTTACGTCTGCTTGGATATTATGGCACATATCAACAATGCAGCTCATTAGTAATGCCACTCACAGATGCTGTATCCTCACTCTCAGGGTGTGCAGCACTGAAGGGCTGGAACTGTACAGGCTTCTCTGTGGGCTTCTCCAGTTCCTAGGCAACAATTGGATAAATGACAGGGCACATTCAACATTGGTGAAGAGAGAACCAAAAATAACCTCTAGAAAAACAACATCTCTGTTTTTCATGCAGTCCATTGGAACAACCACAGGAGAACAACATCGAGAAAATTGGATTCGTGTCGGTGACATCTTTTCATAGCAATTACAAGATCTGTTTGAATGGCTGTATCTTTGTTGATTCCAGAGCTTTTAATGCAACAGCTCTATAGTAATAACTCTATAGTAATAATTCTTGCAAAATTATTTAGGTATTGAAAACCAACAATGGCATTTTCCATTGTTTATCTCACCTTCATCTTCCTGACCCTTTTGAAGCCTGTGTCTTTGTTTTCAGTTTTTACCTTGATGGCCTGTAACAAGAAAAGGAAACAGTAAATACAACCATTAAACCTCCTTCAGTATCTCCACGACATTGCTGTATAAAGTTTACTAATAATAGTCAAGGAGTCTTAAGTCTTTAAAATGTCATACCCCAGTTTTGATGAGTTTCTTGGCTCTCTCTGTGGCTTCCTCGGCATTGACCGGAGCCTCTATCTTCTGGTCTTCTGAAGCAGCTACAAACAAACAAACAAACAAACAGAAACAGCAGATGGTTATTTGTAATTATTACATTTTCTTATATATATTAGTTTCATAGTTGAGGAATGAGAAAAATTCTAGACAGTCAAACAGATAAATATGATATAACAAAAAGTTACATATAATATCAACTGTTAATGATATAACGTTACATGTATTTACCTCTTTTCACACTAGTTTGCTGCTGTGCCTCTGCCTTCTGCTTTGCAGCTAAAGCTTTCTTCTGTACATGAAGTCGACAGACATGTTAATCCTTCAACAGCTCATACATGGCAGTGACTGACATTAATGTGAATTAGCATAAGCATGGCAAAAAGTAAACACATCATCAATGGTTAGATATAGAAATAAATACATGTAAAATACCTATTATCGGCACTTCAAACAAATGTATATGTAAACATGGAAAAATCCTTTACTGGGGATTCATATCCAAGACGGGTATAGACGGCAGCCCTACCAGACCGAAGACTCTACTCTACTTTACTCATAATGTTAAGTCATATGTTATCGATTTGACTATACTGTCTATAAAGAAAGAGACAAACCTTCTTCCGCAGCAATGCGTACTTCTTTTGCAGACTTTGCTCTTCTTCCGTCAGCGCACCAAACGCCATGACGATCCTTTGGAATGTCCTTTTTCAGTCCCCGACTACAAAACTGAACAAAAATTGCGAAAAAGTACAAAAATTGAAGTTTACTCGTCTTCTAAATTTTTCTGCTATTCGCAGTCCGCCATTTTGGTTTGACCTTTTGACCCAACTCTGACCTTTGACCCCTTAAATAACAAACCTACCTCTGCCCACGGAGCTGCATGACTTGCAAGATTCTTCGTTTGCTTCCCAGATACTTGGCGCAACTATCCCATTAGGTCTAAGACTTTTGATATAGGATGGCCACAGAGATGAGCCCAGCGCAGGAGGTATCCGCCCGTGCGGTGGCCGCTGTGGTAGGGGCCCTGGTAGCAGATGCCGCTGGTGAAGGGGCCTCAGCTTGTTGTCCAGCCTTTTAGAGTAGCTTTTACTTCTTGTTACAGACAGTTTTTCTTCGTAGAAACTATTCAGACTCTTTACTTGGCTCTACCGTTGTGTTTCACGTTTATTTGAATTGCTTGTAACTCTTGTTAAAGAAAACACCCATCAAAAGTGTCCAATGAAAAATTATCTATAGTATAACAGTTTAAAAATAAATCCTCAAGTCTGTATAGCATACTTGTCCAGATTAAAGCTCTGTGTAGCATACTTGTCCAGATTAAATATCTAATGAATAATAATACTAGAATTATTTAACATAACACTGAAGTGTCACATCAAATCTGAACAGTTTGCCGGTTTTCTGATACTGAATGTTTAGACTAAAAATAATATTGAAATAACCACAAATTTCTTCAATACTCCCCAGCACAAGGTCTACACTGGGTGTATGACCTGGAGAAGCTGGATGCTGCAGTAGGAGGGAAGGACCCAGAGTTCCACTCCCCGTCTGCCTGCCCCTTCTACACCACCGACACCGGCACTAACACTGCATACGGGGACCAGACATTTGTCCTGCTGGAGTCTCTGGCTCAGTGCAAAGGTTTAGAAATCCGATGTGAAATAGCTCTGAATATTCCTCAAAATTTTTGGTTAACATATAACATTTAATACAAATGACTTGATTTATTGAAATTGTAACAATACAATACACGTGGGATACAGGCAGCTGTTGCTGGTGTTATGTCCCACTGATAGGAACAAATACAGGAAGACAAAACTCATTTTCACTTGAGTGGGCAAAGTCGTGTAAAGTGCCTTTCCCAAGGGCACGAGATTGGTGGCATGTCAGTACTCAAACCCGGGACCTCTTGGTTCTGAGTCAAGCATTCTGCCATTGCGCCACACGACCCCTCTATAATACAAATGTATCACACTTCTGACCAGCTCAATTTTTTTTTCATCATCTCAGTCCCAGTGAGAACATTGTTCCTTGCATGAATTCCTGAATTATAATGCACATTTTGTTATCCATAGGGTTAGATGTCAGTGACCTACAGCAGAGGTTTTACAAGTTCTTTGGACCAGGCACTGCTTTTGACACAGGTGTGACTCTAAAGCTTTTATCATTTCCTTGCTCACACATACATGATTATGATATAGATATGTTAGGTTTTATTTGACATTAGGTCTTATTCAACACACTTATTTTATTGTTGTTACTCTCTTCTCTTTATGTAGTTTGCCATACATTGTACCATGTGCAATTGTCATGCAATAAAGTTCTCTTTATATGAAAGTTCTCTTACATATGAATAGAATCATACATGAAAGATATTCTAAATAAATTCTTAATGTGAAATGAATCATGCATCTACTACTAGTACTAGTTAAATACTGGGTGTGAATAATGCTCCAAAAAGTGTACTATGACGTAGAATAATTTTGATTCATTACTTTGTGTATCTGTATCGTTGTAGCTGGCACAAGATGTGCCCTTTGGCAAAACACACCAACTAGAGGAGGATGTACTTCTCAGAGGATGTATCTCCTTTGATGTGGTGTATATGTTGTCGTCAGCATCCGTTTTACCCTCAGGAAGTTCTGAAGATGAAGAAGAGAATTTGTCATTGAAATGTAATGTCTGCTTTGAATGAAAGGCAACTCCTCACACTCCTTGTGGCATATGCAATTAAAGGAGTACTAACCTCCAGAAGGAAGTGCTATTTTCCGATACATCATGCTGCAATGAATACATAACTAGCCGACTTTTTACATAATTTCGCTTGTACGAGTTGAGCGGAGCATGTTTGTAAAGTGATATTAATATCATTTTCCCCCATGCTGAACCACAATTGATACATCCGGGAACTCTGGCTTACGCAATGCTCATACACTTCAGGTCAACATAAACATTTTTCGGCGAAAATGGGAGACAAGCACACTAACAAGCTGATGATTGAGAAATTACTTGCTTTACTTTGCTTGACCTGTGGCTTGGATATTATAATATCAGGATGTCGAATACAGTGGGAGCCAGTTTCATCCTGCGTGTTTTGATTTTCTCAACTTATTTGCATGTAAGTATCACTTGAACAGATAATTAGATTACGCCACTTTTGGAAAGGATAACTAGATTACGCCGTTTTTTTCATCGTCAATAATAGCCGCATAAATGAGGGGCGATAAGGACACCAAGAAGGGCAATGGTTGGTAAAATACCAAAGAACACAAAACGGTACGAATTTTTCTTATCGCCCCCGAAATGAGGTCTGTAACGTAACTTTTTGTTTAAAACATAGACACTAATGGGGTAGCGTGGTGTATTCTGGGATAGTTTTGAGGGTATTTGAAGAGTTTGTCCTGGATTCGATGCGTTTTAAGACTTGCGCGTAAAATGGGCATTTAATTGTATACTGTAAAATAATATGCATTTTTCAATTCCAAAAATAAATGCCTGTCGAAATATAGCACCTCCTTCTGGAGGTTAGTACTCCTTTAACTTTCTTTTGTAACCACCTACATTTCCGTTCCATTACTTTCTCAGAGGCAGATGTATGCATCTCTTTTTATCTTCTCTCTTGATTTGGTATACGTTGTCGTCAGCATCCGTTTTACCCTCAGGATATTCTGAAGATGAAGAAGAGAATTTGTTATTGAAATGCAATTCCTGCTGTGTTACTGACTACAATTTTGTGTGTGTGGCATGCACAATTAACTGTTTTTTTATAACCACTTTTAGGTGATCAAAAGACACGTCCCATCAAAGGGCCCTGGAGGAATGGTAGCATCAAAGCCTTCCTGGCTAGCATGGAGGCCAAGAAGGAAAACACAGGTGGGGATTGAGAAACATTTTATGAGGAATTATTTGGCCATAGATGATGTTGTTTATTCCTATGAGAAAATCTTTGAGTAATTTCATTAGCCATCCTTGCCAGTTTACAAGTTGTTCACACTGAGTCTCTCACAGTGGAAACCTGTAGTGTAGATAACAGTTTTTCAGCACCAAGGACAGGGAAGTATCACAAAATCTTACAAGGAAGTACCCAATCCGCACCGGGTTTATGGAAAAAGGAGTCCAGTCCGATTGGCGGAAAAAGCTGTCCAGTCCGATTTTGGGGTGGAAAAAGCAGTCCGGTGGTTTCTACGAAATTTTACGAAAGACCATAGGCACAATTTCTTGGGTGTGTACTTCTAGTTTCTATGGGTACTTCGAGTTTCTATGAGTACTTCAAGTTTCTATGAGTACTTCGAGTTTCTATGAGTACTTAGAGTTTGTATGGGAACTTAGAGTTTCTATGACTACTTAGAGTTTACATGGGAACTTACAGTTTGTAACTTACATATCATCATCATCATGCCTCCGGATTATTACTTACATACAACAATAATCAGTCAAAAGATGAAGCGGTCAACTGACGAGATTTCCAGGGCCGATCCTGCTTGCAAGTAGCCTGATTAAATCGCTTTATGGTTGCCAGCTGCCCAACATCCAGCCGGCCCCTGCTAAAACCACGTATGGCAGACTTTGCATTACACCGACAAGCATGTAAGTACCGGAAGTACAATTGTAAGAAAGAATCCCTTAATAATTAACTTTTGTTTATTGTGGATAGGTGACCTGTATGTATAGAAACTACTTTTCGGTGGTCCCAAGAGGTGTAAATCAGTTGTCCGCTATTCCTCACCCAAGACTGCCTGAATTACGGGTTAAAGTGGCATATAGTGAGTCATATATGCTAATTCAAGTTCCCATACAAACTCTAAATAGTCATAGAAACTCTAAGTACCCATAGAAACTCTAAGTACTCATAGAAATGCGAAGTACCCATAGAAACTAGAAGTACACATAGTAGGCATCCTTCCATCTCGTGAGATGATGGTAGCACTCTAGATGTCCTTCCGTTGTGTGCAGCGTCTGGAGTGGCTTATCAGACCTATCTTGGCGTGACAGTCCCGACCGCAGTTGGGACACAGGAAAGTTGAGACATTCTGTGTGTTTTGTTTCTCTCTACGCTTCTGGCGCTTAGTCTCCAGCTGCTCGCAGCGTTTTGCCTGTCCTCTCACTATGCCAACCTTGACTGCGTGTCGCCAGCCACTGCGGTCAGCCGCGAGCTGTTCCCAGCTGGTTGGGTCGATGTCAGTGCATTTCATATCACGTTTGCAAACGTCCCTGAAGCGAAGTGCTGGGCGACCTATAGGACGTCTTCCTGAGGCAAGCTCGCCATACAGGATGTCCTTTGGGATACGCCCATCCTTCATTCTGTGAACATGACCCAGCCATCGTAAGCGACGTTGGCAGAGGAGGAGATGCAAGCTCAGAGAGCCAGAACGCTCCAAGACAATGGTGTTAGGTACCTTATCCCTCCAGGAGATTCCAAGGATACGCCTCAAGCAGCGCAAGTGGAAGCTTTCGAGTCGGTTTTCTTGCCTGGCATAGGTCGTCCAAGACTCGCTGCCGTACAGCAGTGTGCTGAGAATGCATGAGCGATAAACTTGGAGTTTTGTTTTTAGGGTCAAGAGGTGGTTGTTCCAAACTCTCTTTCCAAGTTTGGTCATGATACCAGCAGCTCTGGCTATCCGCCTATCAAGTTCCTTGTCAAGAGACAGGTTTTGGGTGACAGTTGATCCGAGGTAGGTGAAGTGGTCTGTCACCTCGAGAACCTCTGCGTCTATGGTGATAGCAGGTGGCCTTGGAACATCCTGCCCCATGACGACAGTTTTCTTGATGCTGACAATCATGGCAAACTCCTTGCAGGCATGAGCGAACTGGTTGATCAACTGTTGTAGTTCCTGCTCCACGTGTGCAGTCAGTGCTGCGTCATCAGCAACAACAGAAGTACACACACAAGAAAAAATTGTGCCTATGGTCTTTCGTAAAATTTCGTAGAAACCAAAATCGGACTGGACTGCTTTTTCCGCCAATTGGACTGGACTCCTTTTTCCATAAACCCATCCATCCGCACCTCTCTCATCCTCATGATCAGTTTCTCTTAAACAGAACCACAACAAGGTTATCTTATTGGTTAGCCAATGTTGTGTCATGAGCAAGCCCAATGGTGACAAGCATAAAAGATTGAGAATGGTACCCAGGCTAGGAATATTTGAGGTTTTCCACAAATAATGCAAAAAAATTGTAAATTAAAAGACACTTCTTGTCTTTTGATACTTTCTAGGGTCAGACACAGACACACAAGCTGACGGTGCTGCCAAGGTTGCCCCTCTGGTTGCGCTGTATGCAGGACAGCCTGACATGCTGGCAAAAGTAGAGGCTGCAGTGAGAGTCACTCAGAACCACCAGGTTGCACTGTCTGCTGCTCTTGCAAATGCCAGGTTGGGGATGCAAAAATTATTCTCTTCTAGTCTGTATTCTTCATTATCATGTTTACCTGCATTCTTGCATTCACCTTACCAACTCACCACCTCACTAGTCCCATAGCTGTCCGGTGTCAGCCGTTGGGGCAATATAACTTTCAACAAGATTTCTCCACCCCCAGCGATCCTCTGCCAGTCTTGCCAGCTGGCTTATGGGTTGTCCTGACCATTCTTTCTCACAAGTCTCTGGTCCATTTCTGGCAGGGACCCGCTAGGTCGTACACCCTCCGCTTCCTTGCAATGTGGTATGAGCTAGGGTGACCTTTGTTCTAGATACATGTCCAAACCACTGTAGTTTTTTTTTTCTTCATTGCATTCACAATATTGTTATCTATTTGTATAGGATACTAGAAGCTTTCATTTTGAATGGAAAGCAGGAGGGAGTTGTAGAAGCCTTGATGGAGGAGCTAGGAAAGCAGAAGGGTCCGGGCATCACTGGTCAGGATGAGACTGTGTTAAAACAAATCAGGGAAGTTCAGGAACAAAAACCACTGGGAAAACCACACAGGGAAGTCGTCAACAAGGTCTTTGGAAGTAGCTGTGGTGAGAGAAGCTTTTATAATATGTTTCTCCATTTTATTTTGGTTTTAAAATGGTAGATAGATTCATCAAAGATAGTTTAGTCAGTGAAATCTTTTAGAGGAACTTGGATTTGCTTTTTACAATTAAATCCTGATGTTTCTTGTGCATCCAAAAAAAGTAGCTTTAAACTGCAGTATATGTTTCCTACAAATTTGTCTAATTCTTATTCTGTTGTACACCCTCGCTTGATTTATTGAAACTTCAAAACATCATTGTGCTTTTATTTTAAAGAGTATAATTGAATGTGGACCCAACATATAACTGTTGTTCCATGATGTTTTATCCCAGCCTTGCCCAAGCAGTTCCAGGCAGCTCTCCACTGTGTTCTCACCCACACAGACTATGTGTCTGCAGTGCGGGCAACTATCTTAGCAGGGGGAGACAATGCCAGCCGAGCTGGATTTGTCGGAGCTTGCTTTGGGGCTTTGGTGAGTCTGTAAAATTGGAGGATTTGAATGTTGTCTTTTTATAGTTGTGCTGAATTTCATATTCTTTTTGTCTACAATGTAATTATTTTATCATTACACCTGTAATAAATATTAGAATCTTTTTTACTGCATGAAATTTATGTGTCTAATATGTTAGCATTTGTTTCAAAAGAGATACTTGTTTTCAAGAAGAATCATGTCAGAACTAAACAGGACTTTATAGAGTGAAGAAAGGTTAGTCAATACTACAAGGATTTTCCGGTCTTTTGAAGTTTTGTTTGAAATGTGTTCTAGAAAATGATTGTAACATTTTTTCCATGTTCCCATCAGGGTGGGCTGGATGGCATCCCCACAGAGTGGAAGGAAAAGTGCATCCGGTACCAGACTGTACTGGACTTGGCACAGAAGCTTGCTGCAGTGCGGGAAACCTAGTACTAGAAATCTATTTTTCCAGAACATAATATGATTATGATAGTGCTGTAAAAATTAACAGTCTCACAGATTTTATTTTGGACTATATTGAAAGGAATCAAGTACAGGAATGAATAACTCGATGGGGAACATATCAGAATTATATACATTCATAAATCAAACACAATCATGAAAATTTAGAAGTTATTTCATCTTAACACAACTTATGCCAGTGATTTCTAAGAGAGCCTGTGTAATGTTTTACAGGTTAAAACTGGGAAACAAAGGAAGATGACTTTCAGTAGTACATAGAGTCAAACAAATACTTTGTCCCGTGCAGTAGTTCTGTAATGATCATTCATGCTCCATTTATAAGTTGAAATTAAATTCTATTCAGAAATTCAAAATATTGAAATGAAGTGTTGTCTAAATTTGACGACTGTGCATTACCATGTAATTGTTTGACAACTGGTACATGTGTATGTGTTCTGATTTTGTATGTCTGCAGTGAATAAAGACTTGTGCTCAACAAACACAATTTTAAGTGTCATTGGTGTTTTGCTATATCAGTATTATAGACTAATATTCTACTACAAGTATAGCTGTTCTTTACCTTCTCCTTTTTGATAGCTTCCTGACTCATCTTGTTTTGCAATACCCTGGATAATGGATATATATGCCTATAACAGTTACATGTATTACATGTATTAACAAAAAATTTTGATGAATTTTAGTACTTGTGCTCCTGTAATCAAGAGGGAGTTTTTCACACCAAAGATCAATGGCAAATTGCCTCCAGGCAACACCCCTATTGTTAAGAGAATGGTACGGGCCAATGACCGCGCGATGAACCCGGAAGTTCCTGGGAGTCCTGTCTGGCCAGAGGCATCGGAGAAGTTTATGATTCCCTGTGCCATTAAGTAGTGAAAGGTAGAATATGTTTCTGATTTCTATGATTTTTCTCATAATTAGTTCTCCCTGACGATAGTAAGTTACGTCAAGAAAGTCCTGGGTTACATGTGCCTCTGGCAGCCACTAAATAACATGTCGTGGGAAGAAAGGAGTTAAGATGCGTACTGCGTCAATACCGCAATTAAGATAACAAAGGGCATTGCTATCATGACAGAAGCTGCTGTTGTGGTGTATTTTACTCTAGCTGAGACTGTGCTGAACGCACATGGTGTTATTCTGACTTCCTACAGAATACACCATGTGTACATCACACCTTACTGCCGGAGATTGGTAGATTACATGCAAAATTTAATTACCGGAGCTGTCAGTCAAAAAATACTATTTTCTAAAGTTTATATGAGGTCACAATGGAGCCCAGGGAAACTACAAGGATGGATATTTTGTTTTGTTCGTATTTCCAACCTTTAAGTCATGTAAGTTTTGCCGTGTCAAAAGATTCAAAGTTTGAGATAATCATTTTAACTTTTTGATGTTCAAAAGTTCTATGTTCACAGAGAGAGCTCATCTACTTATAAGTTCTGTCAAGTGGAGAAAACTATAAAGTTCCAGACCTGAAGATGACTGTTGAGCCTCAAGGGCTTGGCCTTCTGAGCCAGTGTGGTGAAACATACAGGTGGGGAACTGAATTTACAGTAACTGTTATATACTAAATATACGTATACTTATTATGCTGCAGATTTCATGACAACCCAAAGCGTCTTGACTTATTGTGCTAAACCACACACAGTACACACATACAAATGCTAACAAAAATTTATCTGGCTGTTGAAATTATTAACCCCTCATAATAATTGACCTTAATTTATGCTGTGCCCATCCAATTTTCATCAATGGGTTCTTACTGTTTTGTATTGTTACTTTCACAACAGTCCCACATATGAAGACCACTACCAAGCAGGGCAAACTGCTCTGAAAGAGGGGGAGTTTGATCGAGCCGAGAACCATTTTGCCTCGGCCCTCAAACTTGTCCATCATCAGTTTTCTGACCCTCAGACAGTTTCAGCCCTCCATGCATTAGGTGACGTGTTCCTCGCACGAGTGAACAATATTCTTAGACTTCCAGCAACTAAAGGAAAGGAGGATCCAAAACTCACAGAAATCAAAGCAGCAAGTGTTGAGCAAGAGCAGGAATGCTTGGAGGATAAAGGAAAGCAAATCAGAGGTCCAAACTTCCAAGAGCTGAGTCTGCCTGACCTGGAACAGGCAGGCACATGGACAGTAAATGCTGTCGCTCTCTACAACTCTGCCATCGTACGATCAAAACAAGAGGAGGAAGTTAAGGAAATACAGACCAGCATCAGAAATATTGAAGAGCTTTTCCTTCAGTGCCTTGTAGGAGGACAGAAAGAGACACAAGATAGTCCCAGATTGAGTCTTTTTGATCCCAAGGCAAAACTGCTACAGATCAGGGAAGAATGTCAAAAGAAGCTTGACGATCTTGATGCCATCCCCTACAACATGGAGCATGAACTGGACAGGGCTGAGGCCGTCAGGGGTATCTACAAACAGGTTGCAGCTGACATCACAGGTATGATGAAGACACCTTGAAGTCACAGTTGTTACAGTAAATTAATGTTACTGGTAGAGTTGTGACATTTATATTTAAAAAATACTTCAGCTATTTTAATACATGTAACAATATTATTATAATCCAATGTACATGTACCATGTTCAAATGTTGCCAATTCACGCAAGTTTTTTGCTTCATATGACACCAGTCAATGAAACTTTAATAAAAATTTAATGAAAATGTCCATGGAAAGGTCTCATCTCGTCAATGGTGGAAGCATCAGTCCAAGACCTTGGAGAGGCTCCGTGCAGATTTGCCGTCATCGGTCTGGGGTCGCTGGCCCGGGAAGAGACCACGCCTTACTCCGACTTTGAGTTCGCCATCTTGCTGGAGGAGGGAGGAGACAGCAGGGAGAACCGCCAGTACTTCAGGAACCTCACAAGACTTCTGCACTTGAAGGTTGATATATATAAATCATATTAAAGTTTTTTGTCCACCAGCACAGGTATTCATAGAGTCAGATTCAGATTTTATTACCAATGACATAGCAGGTATAATATAAAATCAACACCTGAATTGCGTCATTGCTTACAGATCCGCCTTTAATATCCAAGTATAAAATTCATAATACATGATAAAATACAATTCTAAAACTTTTAGTAAAAGTCATATCAGGAATAAGATATAAAGGGATATCAGGTAACCTAATTACAAAATGTCAGTCTATAGATTTGTGTTTTTTGCAATAGATTTGTGTTTTTTGCAATAAATACATGTATGAAGGTAGCCTCAGCCCCTTGGCTTTGTTGAGTTCAATGTCTCTATTCAATAAGCTGTTATTCTTCAGTGGTAACATTAATATTTCAAAATTTTATTCTCATTTCTTCAGGTGATTGATCTTGGTGAAACTATCCTCCCAGCCGTTGCCATCAAATCTTTAAATGACTTTTATTCAGGTAAGACTGGGTCTGAATCATCACAGTTATACCTTTTAAAGGCCTTCTTACTATGATCTACCATCTCCCCAGTATGGTTGTCAAATTGCATCAATGGCCAGATAGTTCAACAACCTGACTCAAAGAAATGATCAAACATGTCAAATGTGATATGATTTTCATGTACCATATGGATATCCTTAATATGATGTTCTAATCATGTTATCTGTGCAATTTCTTTCACAAATCAGATACTGATGACTAGAAAATCACATTATTCTCTTCATCGTGTATTCTTTGATCTTTTTGCCCTAAAGTGAAGCGATGACACCTGAGTCATTCAGTTGAAGATAATGTTTTGTTTTAGGTGGCCCAGAAAGTGACTGGTTCTACGACACTGGACCCCGAGGCTTTGCCTTTGATGGGGCCATGCCGGGTGCTTCGAAAACACCACTCGGTCGACCAGAATTTCATGGCAAACCAGAGCTTGAGCTGATTAGGTAAGTGATGTATTTTGACATGGATGAGAAGCATATGTCATTGTTTAATCACAGTGTACAATGAAGCAGTGCAAAAGTGCAAAATCGTCATGTGCAAAATCTGCATCACTTTGAATATAAATAATGTGTAGCTCCATCACTTTTTTATATTCTCAGAACCCCACACAACATGGCAATTCTGCAGACCACAGCTTCTGCAGAAACATACGGCTTCCACATAGACGAGGTGCTGCGAACTGTGGCACATGTGGCTGGAGACAGGAAGCTGGTTGAAGAGTATGAAGTGTTAGTACAGCAAACTCTGCACACCGAGAATCCTTCAGCGCACCACAAACCGGCTTCAGAGATCAGTTCAAAGGAAGAAGAATCTGCAAGTGTAGGATCCCAAACTTCTGATGCACATCTAGAGGGTCAGACGTTAGGTTGTGAAAGAGCCATGGCCTTTTTAAAGGAGATTCTCCAGTCTTTCAAGACTACCCTAAAAGAGGATGAGGACGGAAAACTTTTCCAGGTGAAGAAGGAAATCTACCGTCTCCTCAGTATGGTTGTCAGTGGCCTGGGACTTTTCTATGCTCTGGAGGCAAACACAGCCTGGGACATCATTGAGGAAATGGCTGACAAGGGTCTCCTCTCCAAGGTGGCATCACAGAACCTTAAGGTGGCAGTCAGTATTGCAACAGAACTACGACTCCACACTTATCTCTCCAATGACAGCCAGAGCGACGACATCACTCCCATGAAACGGATAGACCATGGAACAGACGAGGTGGCAACTGAAGATACCTGTAGTCGAGTTGTCCGTGAACTCACCGATGTTTTGCCCAAAAGCACTCTTGTACGCTTCTACCAGACCGTGCTCCCCCTCGAAGAAATGATGTCTGCTATGTTGAAGAAAAGTGCAGGTGAGGATAAGGAAACGGCAGCAGGAAGCTTGACAGAGGGAACTTGTTTGCTGGACACCAGTGCTAGGACTAAGTCTCTCATCCTTCTGCGTCTATCACAGTACCAGGAAGCTATTTCCCTGCTTGAGAGAGAGATTAAACAGCCGGAAACAGCCCAGCCATCTCTGGGCATGACACATCATCTGGGGGTCTGTCATTACAACCTCGGCAACGCCTATGGAGGTGACGGGGATCAGCACAAAGCTATGGAACATTACCAGGAAGCTCTAGAACTGTGGAGGAAGGATGCCCAATCTGAAGGTGCCAATGAACACATAGCCATGGCTCTGCATGCCCTTGGACACATTAACCACATGTTCGACAAGTTTGATCAGGCACTTGAAGCTTATGGGGAAGCCCTCGAGTTAAGAAAACAGCTTTTTGGAAAAGATGGTTCAGGTAGAGAATTCATTTCGCACACTCTGCATGGCATGGCTTCGGTACACAAGGATGTAGGTGACTACGATATGGCACTGGAGCTGGAAAAGCAGGCACTAGAATCAGCCCAGGAAATGCATGGCTTGCACAGAGCTCATTCTGAAACTGCAACATACATGTCTGGCTTGGGAAGCATCCACCTCGAGATGGCAAACTTTAAAGAGGCCAGAAAATGTTTTCAAGAGGCTTTGAGAATGTTCAAATCTGTTGTGGGGGAGAATGTGGCTCACCCCCAGATTGCTGCACAGCTGACTGCCCTTGCAAACCTAGAGAAGCAGTCTCGATGGTCAAATCTCGACTGTCTCTCCAAATACTACCAGGCGCTTCAGATATTCCACATTCTCTATGGTACAGAGGGAAAGACGTATGAGATTGCTGGTACTCTAGACAGTATTGCCAACTGTTTGGATGACCTTGGTCACTTACAGGATGCAGAGAAATATCACCGGGACTCACTAGACATGTTCCTGCACATCTATGGAAGAAGTGCCGAGAACACAAGAGTAGCAGGGGCATACAACAACCTGGGCAGCTCCCTTCTGGAAGCAGGAAGAAATGAGGAGGGACTGGAGATGATGGAAAAGGCACTGCAGATGAGACAAGCTGTTTTTCAAGGCAAGGGCTTTCTCAAGTATACATTGTAATGATGCTTTAACAACTTTTTACTTAGAATTAGATGGTTGAATAAATTTTAAAAAAGGCAACATTGAATTCAATACTCAGGTATCCAACTATTTTTTTTCATTTCCAGAAATTTTGACAGCGTGGTAAAATGGTATTTATGTTTTTCATCTTTAACTTTTTTTCTAACTTTATTTTGTGTGTCTATACGATACAGGAAGAGAAGCCCCTGAGTTGGTCAGCTCCATTTCCAACCTTGGATATGCTCACTGGAAGCTGGGCAATACTGACAAGGCCACTCAGTACACAGAAGAAGCCATCGCCATGGCAACAGACCTTCACAAGGCCAGGAAACTGCACCCAAGCATCATTGTGCCGATGCAGACACTTGGGGTGGTCTACATGGACAGGAAAGAGTGGGTCCCAGCAAGGGAGCTGTTTGAGAAAGTCCTGGAAATGGAACAAACCCTATACAGGTGAGATGCATTTGTAGATGTAATGTCATATACTGGAACAGTAATATCAGTGTAGATGTTCTTCAGCACCAGGGACAGTGCCAATAGTGCCCTGTGTGAAGTGTGAATGTCATTCAGCACCAGGGACAGGGATGGTAGTGTCTGTGTGAATGTCATTCAGCACCAGGGACAGGGATGGTAGTGTTAGTGTGAATGTCATTCAGCACCAGGGACAGGGATGGTAGTGTCTGTGTGAATGTCATTCAGCACCAGGGACAGGGATGGCAGTGTCAGTGTGAATGTCATTCAGCACCAGGGACAGGGATAGCAGTGTTAGTGTGAATGTCATTCAGCACCAGGGACAGGGATGGTAGTGTCTGTGTGAATGTCATTCAGCACCAGGGACAGGGATAGTAGTGTTAGTGTGAATGTCATTCAGCACCAGGGACAGGGATGGTAGTGTCTGTGTGAATGTCATTCAGCACCAGGGACAGGGATGGTAGTGTCAGTGTGAATGTCATTCAGCACCAGGGACAGGGATAGCAGTGTTAGTGTGCAACTCACTTCTTTACTACCCTCCAGTGGCCCTAATCCTTTAATGGCCATGACACTGGCTAATCTGGGATCAGTCCATGGTGAGATGCTGGACCACAATACAGCCCTGCAGTACCTGCAACGTGCAGAGAAGATCTCAGAAGATGTGTTTGGGGAGGGCACACCACATCCACAGGTGTGACATGATTATTTCAAATCTTAAAGTCTTCATCCTAATTTAAAACTTTACCTTACATTTACTTGAAGAAATTGTTAAGTAACAAATTGTATTACATACAATGTACTTGCAATGCACACATTGAATTTTGTGATTCAGAATTGAAAGCAGCTCATTTTATTGTTCAGGGGCAAATTCTGGTGACTTCATTCTGGTGAACTGTACACACACAAAAGGTTATTAAAGGAGACCCGACTTTCCCTTGCAGGTAGCCCTAATTTGGAACAACATGGGGATGACCTACAAGGACATGGGAAACATCCCAAAGGCTTTGGAATATCTCACACGCTCACTTCAAATGAGGGTGGCTATCTACGGAGATGACAACCCCCATCCTGACATCGGGGCATCCCTGGGTAACATGGGTATCCTAATGGCAAAGCTTGGGAACATAGACATGGCTGCCACGTGTTTTGAGAAGGCCTTGAAGAAGTTCCGTGGTAGCTATGGCAACAGGAATCATCCATCCATTGCAGGTACTCTTGACAACCTGGGGATCATTTTCTATGAGAAAGGAGACTACCACGAAAGTCTGAAGCATCACAGGGAGGCACTTGAGATGAAACAGGAACTGTATGCAGGAAAGCCAAATGTTTCCATAGCTCTGACTATAAACAACCTGGCAAATACATACAAGGCTCTCGGAGAGCATGACACAGCCCTAGGCCTGTTCCAGCAGTCTTTGGACATCTACGATGGTGTGCACGGAAAAGGAACACTGCATCCTGACATTGCACACGGTTTGGTCGGCATCGGAAATCAGTACGTAAACCTGAAGAGATGCCAGGACGGTATCGAACTGCTGCAAAAGGCACTGGCTATGTTAGAGGCATTCTACGGTGCAGGCACCCCCCACCCGGATATAGCCACTTGTGTCAACAATATTGCTTTTGCACATGACGAGCTAAAAGAGTATGACTCTGCCGTACAATGTTACCAAAGAGCTTTGGAAGTTTGGAGACAACTGTTTGGGAATGAACACCCCAACGTGGCCATGGCTTTGAATAATCTCGCCTCAGCGTACAGTAAGTCAGGAGACACCACACGTGCCACGGTGCATTTTGAAGAAGCTGTAAAGATCTATCAGATGTCTCCATGTAACCCTCAAGCACACCAGGCTTTCTTCAACCTGGCAAAAGTCTGTCTTCATCAAGGGAATAAGATGAAAGCCTTGGCAAACTATGTTCAAGGTAAGATGACTCTTTGTACATGTACACATTTTTAAATGTGTACATTTTTAAATACTTAAAAGTATATCATCAGGTTTTAGAAGTCAAAAAGCTTTGACGATGAATGCACCCTGCATTTCTTCACTAACGTTAATTTTTTTATCTGTAGGCATAAATGCCCTGCAGTTACTACCAGGTCCTGTGTCCCTGCGCCCAGAACAGGTCACTGGACTGGATTCTGCCGCACAGATTTTGTTTGATGGGAAAAGTTACAAGGATGCTGCAGAGTACTGGGAAAAAGCCCTGGCTGCATATTCACAGATGAGACAAGCTCCAATTAATGTGGATGTAGGGAAGATGCAGTTCAACTTAGCCAGGTGAGTAATTTTATAGAACATTACGGGAACCCAAATTATTCAAAAACATTCTTATGGCTTCCATTTAACTGCTTCTTTACTGGCTCAGTTTTCTTTTATAAGGGCACCAATGTACATTTAGTTTTATATTAAGGAGACACATACCTGTTGACTGATAAGAGTTTTACCTGTTTATGTCACAGTTATATATAGTCATGCCCTTGGTCTGATTTTAAAAGAACTGTGACTGATAATGATTGTTTGTTTTTTTTGAGTGACAGACTGAATGAAGAGTCTAAACGGGAACCATGCAGCTCCAGATGTCTTACTAAGGAATGACTGTGATACAAACGATGTTGGTCACTCAATGAATGATTCCACGCTACTCATATTGACTCTAGCATTGTTTCCCCAGGTGCTACAGTGAGCTTGGGGATGTTGAAAAGGAGCGTTCCCTCCATGAACAGGCCCTACAGACGCTGCTACAGCAGCATGGGGAGAGCAGTCCTAACATACATGTGGGCCTGTCCCTGTTACATACAGCCAAAGAACTACAGACAGCTGGGGACCACCAGTTAGCTCTTCTGTACCTTCAACAGGTAACTAACTCCATGTTTTATTTATTTAACTTGATTACAAATTTGTTACATTTTTAAACATCCTTGACCAGGTTAAATTTTATGGAAGAAAATGTTGAGGAAGATATTCAAGACATGGAGATTGTTGTGTTTACCAAAGGAAAACATATAATTGTTTTTGCTCAGAGTCTGTTTCTTCTCCATACAAATAAGGTCAATGACCTGAACCAGATGTCTGTCACCGTGTTAACTAGTGTTGCCCCCGGTTGCAATTTTATAGCAGGAGGGATTTAGACCAGTCTGACCATATTTTATATGTTTGAGTAAGAATTAACAGAGCATACCATATGCAAACTTTTAAGGTAAACATTATGCATTGGCTTTGCTGTGAATGGTACCTTTCTAGTTGCTTAATGAGTTCAACATACAGTGCATAAAATTCTGTAAAGCGAGAGATAATCTGTAGTGAAAGACATTTTTATGATCAAACATCTCCACCCATCACAGGCAGCAGAAATTTTCCAAGTGCTGTCAGAGTCGTCCCCCGAGTCTAAGACATTTCTGGCTGCCACGTACAAGAGTATGAGTGACACATATCAGTCCATGGGAGACCAGGGGAGCACAGTGAAGTACCTGTCAGAGATGATGAGAACACTCCAGTCTACCAACCAGGAGGTAGATGACTCTGTCTTTGGTAGGTGGTTCTGATAACATTTATTCCCCAATGTTTTCTATGGTACAATGTAATTTTTTATACATTCCAACATGTAATCACAAGACATGGTGATGGCACACTTAAGTTTTTTCAACTTATATTGATGCCACCACCAACATGAGACAATACAATACTCACCTGAGTGAAGTAAGGAAAGTCGTGTAAAGTCTTAGAGCCTTTCCCAAGGGCACAAGTTCGGTGGCATTTTAGGACTTGAACTTAGGACCTCTTGGTTCCGAGTCGAGCACTCTGCCGCTACGTCACACTACCCCAGCAATGCAATTGCTTACTAGGTTCTTTTACTTGTTTGTCTTGTTTCAGTTTCAGTTTCAGTTTTATTCAGATCCACAATTAGCCTCATAAGAGGCTATTCTTCCTGTGGTCTACACATTCATATTTACATACATATATTACAAACGTACAAAAACATTACAAAATTAACAGTACATGACAAACTTTACACAAGTCACAATTTACAATCCAGTACTTTGCTAGTTGCCTAATATAGTATGTTATTCCACGTGTGTGACATCCTGTACATAAAGCGCTTTTTCTGAGAGTTTGATTTTGGTTTGGTTGTACTGCGAAACCACAGCTTGCTTCCTCACCAGTTGCTCTAAACTTCATATTAAAACTAGAATTTTCCTTCCCAAAGATGGCCTGTCACCAGAGACAAAAAGTTTACTGGAGAAGTTCCCAGCATTGAGACCAACTCTGAAGAAAGCAGCCACTACTGTCAAGGTAGATCAGCACTGTTGGTATCTTTAATTCCAGACAATGAAATATTTGATCCTGAAAATGATCTGATAAAGAAACAAAAAAACTCCATAAGAGATCCTTTTTTGATTACGTTTATTGCATATTTGCAACGTTATGTAATACATTATGGAATAGAAACATTATATATAAGTCACACTGATTTACAATTCAGAAAACGTTTAAGTTATATGTACCATTTTTAAGACTGTCCCACCCTTACTTTTTTACCTGTTACTTAGTTGGCATATGCAGTATTAGGTAACATGATTACGACAAAAGAACTTAATATGTTATTTTAATTGACAGCTTATTTTGTTGAAGTATTAAGAAGATAATGTTCTACTGCATTAGATGCTGGGGTCCTGGCAGAGTGCTGAAGATCTGAATGGAGCAGCCCCTCTGATGTGGAGTGACCTCCTGCTGCCCAGAAGAACCATGTCTAAACCTGAACTACAGCTGTTCAGCCACTTCTTAGCTGACATTGGAGCTGCAGAACAATTCCACAGGTTGTCATCGAGTTTGAGAAACCTTAGAGAAACTTATTGATCATTTTAAGGGATCCAACATTATGTCTTCTGTTGATGTTAGTTAAAGTTTCAGTCTTTGGTGAAAAGACATTGATATGTGCAGATGATATACATATAGCCTCATGACACATGTATCAAGCACTGTATGATAGATTCAAACAGACCATCTTCATAGAAAAAGAAGAATTTCATTCCGTTTAACTTTTTGTCCAGAGTGACTTATTGAAGACCTACAGATGGCCTAACCCTAATATTTGATGAAAGAATGCAGCTGCACGACGTCTTTATACAACTGTTACAATTTACTGCAGATGCAGAATACAGTGGATGATGATGAATATTCAGTGGCTTTTTATTAACCACATTGTTCATGTAGCCTCATCAAGTACATGGAGAAATCGTACGAGGATGTCATCAGCGCTGAAGTACCAGTCCGGTGTCTGATGATGATTGGTGGTCTGTGCACAGGTCTGGCTGACAGCAGCGCCCTCATGTGTCACCGGCTTGTAACTGCAGGGATGGTGGAGGTGTTGAGTGGGTGGCTGGAGAAATTTCGAGATCATTATCCACAAGACCGGGTACTTGTATTTTATTATTGTCAAGATTTTAAGTAATTAAGTGTCCTTGGACTACAAAGAACAATAACCAATTGCACTGCATGTGCTAGGAACTAATCAGTAAACTTTTTGTTCACTTTGTTGTTGAATTCTCACTCTCGTTTTTTTTCTGTATTTCACTGATATGTAATTATAGCGCTGCAACATAATGTTTTTTTATCATGTTTTATCATGTCTTTTTTTCAACAATGAAAGAACAAATGGACAATGGAATATAACTTCACATTTTTTGTTTCTGGATGTGAGAAATATCCAGAAACTTAATGTATTAACTTGTATTGGATGTTATAAGGACATATTAAATGGCATTGATTGTTAACTTACTGTGTATGTACTTTCCAGAACCGTTCCAGTTTGGTGACCTCTGCCATCCACACCATCCATAACTGCTGCAAGGTGCCTGATGTCAGACCTGCTCTGAAGGAACAGAACATAAACAAGCTGCTGGGTCCTTATCTTAAGGTGTGTGCCTATCTGTAATGTGATGCAATATTAACATTACATACTAGTACATGTACTAGTAGATATTTGTTTACCTTCATTTGGCTATGTATACTGTGTATATTTGATTACATGTGTAGGAGTTTTTAGATTTTCACAGATCCATGCAATATCAGTGGATTTTGGTGAGCACCTACTAAAATTTTTTATTCATGCGGATTCAAGATTTCAAATTTGTGTTATATGTTCCTAGGTTGTTTCAGAAGAATGTTTGTGTCCAATTCCAAAGTTGGTAAAAGACCTGTAATACTATGCTGCCCTAAAAATTATAAGCATGAAATTTATAATAAAAGGTTGTACGATGTAAAAATTCACATCATGTTTTGTAGGTTGGAGAGGTGAGCACCAGACTGGCAGCACTCCTGGCCACCTCCTACCTGGCCGATGATGACACTCCTGAGGCAGACAGCGACATCCTGGATCACATCATCAGCAAACTGGAGAAGGCTCTTCAGGAAGAGTCCAGGTCATCCGAGGGGTACTCAGCCATGGAGCTGGTCATGGGGATAGGTCAGGCATCATGAATGTCATTCTTCTGAGGTTACAACTAAAGCCGATGCTGCATATACTACTAGACTGTGTTGTTAATAAAATTTTATTGTAGCACTTTATCAGAAGTTGACAACAAAGATGAAAGAAAACAATTATTGTCAACAATAATCTTCAATTCAGCACCAGGGACAGGGCATCTATGAACCTTACTGAAACAGCATGTGTGTTAGGTGAATATTGTTCAGCACCAAGGACCGTGTATATATAAATGTGTATGATACAGGTAACATGTGTGCTAGGTGAAAGCTGTTCAGCACTAAGGATAGGGCATATATGAATGTGTATGACACAAGTAGCATATATGCTGGGTGAATGTTGTTCAGCACCAAGGACAGGGCATGGTGACAATGTGAAATATGAGAAAGCTTCAGTCATTTGATGAAGCCAACATCATAGCTAATATCCACATTTCTTCCATCTTTGTATCATGTACCAATGCTAGTATGTATAAATTTTTACATTTTCTCTTTCAACCAATAGGCACCCTGTGTGGGAACACAGTGAACAGAACTGCTTTCCTGGAGAGGTCAGCAGCAGCACTGGTGGAGAAACTGATGGAGGAGGGAGATGAAGAAGAGACAGAGGCAGCAGCAAACACCATCTGTACACTCCTGGCTGACTGATCGATAAAGGAGTGAATGAATGTATGAATGACCAAATGAATGAATGACCAAATGTCAAATGAATGAATGAATGACCAAATGAATGATTGACCAAATGAATGATTGACCAAATGAATGAATGAATGACCAAATGAATGAATGAATGACCAAATGAATGATTGACCAAATGAATGAATGAATGACCAAATGAATGAATGACCAAATGAATGATTGACCAAATGAATGATTGACCAAATGAATGAATGAATGACCAAATGAATGAATGAATGACCAAATGAATGAATGGAGTAATTAATATATGACTTTTGTGTCATTTTTATTCTTGCAGAGATGATATGGTTTCAGAGGTTCTATTGTATTGAATACGTCAAGATGTAGACTTTTATTGTATTAGTTGCAATTTTCTTATCTGAAGACAAAATAAATCAGTTATCTTTATCTCAATTTTTGAATGACCACTGAGCTGCAGTAACTATCACAGTGACATGAATACTAGAAAACATGACTTGATACAACAAATGTAGTCAGATGCTTTGCATAAATCTTAAAGCTCTAATTCACCTTAAAGATGTTTAAAGTATTTGCTATGAACTAAGAATTAACACAGTGCACTTATCATCAGTATAAATGCCTCAATCAGTACATAGTTACGTTTGTACTAGGTTGCAATTTTATTAAAATGCTGGGTCATTATTTGCGGTCTTGCCTGCAGTACCATCATTGTTCACTAGTCAGCGCTTCACAACAGCCGCCCCAGCAGAGTGGCCGGATTGTTGTGTAACATTAAGTGTTGTAAATTGTATAACGGGGTCACTGTGTCACAGTGTTGTGTTCCGGTCCCGGTAGTGCTATGTATGTCTTGATTAATATGGCAAGACATTAGGGACTTCAGGGTAACATAGAGCTTCACTATCAATACATAGACGTAAGCTTTATACCGAGGGGCCCTGCCGGCTTCTGTCCTGGGGCGTGATGGCCACAGTCGCCGAACGTGCTGTGGGGGCTATCGTGGGAGCCGCTGTTGCCGATGCCTCAGGTAACAAAATTACCATCATGGCAATATGAGACAAATTTGGTTTCATCGGTAAATGGTCGTTCATGAAATTTGCTGATTACACGTAAAAGAAGGCACCATATACAGTCTGCACGACCACTATGTAAATAGACACATTGCTTAGTCATTGTAATCTCCAAGTAGATGTGCGGTGTTGACTACTGGTTTTCCGGGGCTGCATTTTTGGCGACGCCTCAGGGTGAATGTGCCGTAACCACATGGCTCAGTGTGATGTTATTTACAACACATTTGAAACTCCCAGAAACGATAAATAATTTTTTCAGTCTAAAATAGAAGAAAATCAAGTGACTCCCTGCTATGATCTAATATGATCAAGCCAATTAACATTATATTCTGATGATATAAGCCTTTTTTATGAGGGCTTTAAAATGTTTTACTCAATTTCCTATCCTGTTTGAATTGAACCAGCCCAGCCTCTTCATTGGATCTACAACCTACAGAAGTTAGACTCCCTCATAGGCCGTGTGGAGACACCAGAGTTCCACCAGCCCTCAGCTAACCCGTACTACAGGATAGACACAGGGAGGAACAGCTGTTACGGGGACCAGGCGTATGTCATACTGGAGTCATTGGCAGAATGTCAGGGTGAGAGAAGATGCACTATTTCATTTACTCTGTATACATTTTACATTTACACAGACATTTTAATAAATTGTTTATACTATTCTACTTATACAAACTCAGACATGTCCAAGCAAGTGCAATGGGGAGGATATTGAATGTTTGAGTGGGCTAAGAACTGAAATTTTAACTTCAGACATCTTGCACAGTGGTACAAAGTAATGAAAAAATGGGCTAAAACTGTTGATGACAGTGTTAGATCTCAGAAGACTGAAATACAGCATAAAATTCAATGCAATTTGCAATTTTATTTCAGGTCTTGACATTGCTGATCTAAAGCAGAGGACTTATCGAATGTTTGGGCCAGGAACGGACTATGATGACACTCAGAATTCTGAATACAAGCCCCATGGAGGTAATGTGCAGGTTCTACCATAGCCTTACATGTAACCTAGAATTTGGACTCATCCAGGGCTATACTGTCAGCTCTTTGGCTCCAGGCCTAGTTCCAACACAACCAACAGGAAAGTCTGGATTTCAGGTTACCCCACATGTATGTGTGCTGCTGACAGGAATCTAAATTCCTTGTATATTGCATTTATGAACTTCAAGTCAGTTTCTATGTAGTTAGGTTGACTGAAGTGAAGAATGAAAAGTTAAGTGTATAAGTATGTTTCCCTTTTCAGGCTTGAAGAAATCCTACCCCATCCACGGTTCATGGAGACACTTCAGCATTAAAGACTTCCTTAAAAATATAGAGGCAGGGAAGGATGATACAGGTTAGGCATATTTATCATTATCATACTAGTTTCCATACTTTGGATTTTTTTATCCTCAGTGCATATACATTACTGTTAAATCAATGTATAGTCAGATCAATAATGACAGTAACAGACAAGCATCTGTGTGTACTTGTGACACATGCATTTGTAAATTTTCTTTTCTCCTCCAGGGTCTAAGAAGGATGACCAGGTTGACGGTGCCACCAAAGTTGCCCCGTTGGTTGCCCTGTATGCAGGACAGCCCTGTATGTTAGAGAAGGTTGAAGATGCTCTCAGGGTGACCCAGAACTCTGACACTGCTGTGGTGGCAGGACTCACTACTGCCAGGTATGGGAGGAAATGTAATATTAGCAGGCATGGTGTGAGAGTTTCAAGTCTGTTTCCAATTGGGTACTGAACATCATTCACACAAAAGCATAAATTGGTGAAGTAATGAGTTGTAGAAAAGTTTAGGAGAAGAAGCAGGAATTGTTTTGCAAAATAATGTAAAATATCAATGAGAATAACAAGAGTATATGAGAAGACAGTGCATTTGTAAAACTAATAACATTGAAAGTGCAAAGCAAACTGACCTTCTATCTGTGAATAGTGTCATCAGGTTGGTAAGTCATGGAGTAAAAAGACTTAACACAACCAAGTCTTTTTATTCAGTTGACCTTTCAGTGACCGTCTGTCACCTTCCTCAGGGCAATTCTTACTGGTTCACATTGCACTGCAGCACAGGTGTCCGACCTTCTAATTCTATTCCTACTTGACCTTTCCCTAGGATACTGGAACAGTTCATCCTCCATGGGAGGAAAGACAGAGTGATAGAGACAGTGATGGAGGAGATGAGGAAACCAGACCGGGAGAACCCGACTGATCTGGACCAGGCTATGGTCAGCTTCCTGCATAAAGTACTGGACAACACGGGCGGTCAGCACAGGAAGGTTGTCACCACGGTCTTCTCAAACAACTGACGTAAGGATAGAGCTCTGACCTTAAGTGTTATTTTGGTACTAGTCATTATGAGAGTACTGTGTTTTGTCAATCAAAACATATTACTAAAAATACAATCTGTTCTTTGTCTGTCATTTTTTATGCTGGTAAAAATACAATATGATACTGCTTGAAATGACAGGAATACATTCAGTTTTCGTTAAGTAAAACTTCTAAAAGGAATACACACACACAAACACATACACACACTTACACACACACACACACACACACACATACACACACATAAACATTCTCATCCCTGTAGATTTGCCTAAGTCCCTGCAGTCAGCAGTCCATGGTGTTGTGACTGGTAGGGACTATGTGTCAGCCGTCCGTGCCACTATCAGGGCAGGAGGGTGTAACGCCAGCAGGTCCTCTATCATTGGGGCGTGCTTCGGTGCACAGGTGGGCCCCTCTCATTCAGTTGTTAATGAATTGATATTTATCATAACTCATTTTGTTTGTTTGTTAATGTCTTTAGCCAGGAAATATGTATCGCCTGAGGGCATTTTTCAATATTTCCTGTGGGTTGCTCTAGGAGGGCCCATATTTTTGCAGAGACAATATCTTGAATTTCTTTCATCCATTGTACTTGATCATTTATGGCTCCTGCTTATGTATAACAGATAAATACTTAATTATCAGTTGATGATTTCAAAAGGGAAAACTGTGCAAAAATGGTATCCACTGTGTAATATCCATATTGATATTTCATTTTTCCTCTTTTGAAAGGTGGGCGTTGAAGGCATCCCTGCTGACTGGAAAGCTAAAACGTTTCGTTATCAACAAGTGTTGGAGCTGGCTAATCGTGTTGTTAGCTGCAGATCTTGTATGTTGTAAACAAATGAAGCAGGTTGAGAACACAGTGTGTGTCCATCCTGTGGCCTACTGTCTGTGCATGATGATAGTATCTGGCTAAAATCACTGCAACTGTGAAGACCAGAAACTGGAGAAAAGACAGACAGTAGTTGCAGTGGCAAATACTCTCTTTTAATCATTTTAGAAAATGTGTGAATAATGAAAAGGAGTAATTTGACAACAACATTGAAGATATTTATGATGATTACAAGGAAAGTATTTTAGGTGCCATAAGAAATAACTAGCCAGGTAGGAGTAGTCACAATAATTTATTACCTCCCAAAAAATGTGCCACTGTTAGTCAAAGCTCGTCAAATCACATTGTACTAGTATTAAAAAAACTTACTGTAGATATTGCACACACCACATCTCAGTCTTTCATACAGAAATGCATTGAGAAATGAAGTTGAATTAATTCTTAAGATTAATGTTAAGTTCTTTGTCCCTTTCTTTTCTTCCATTGTCTCTTCTTTGCTTTTTTCTCTGCAACAATTTCTGGAGGGTCCGGGGGAACAAATCCATCTGTAATTCTGTAGAATGTGATTGTGGAGTCTGTGTCACATATGGCAAGAGTTACTGTCCTTGTCATTAAGTCTGGTTCCTCCAGCTTCAGTTCATCCTGTGGACGTGGGACATGGGTCAGGAAGTCTCGTAACCTGGAGGGAAATAAATAGTCACAAGACTCAAGATTTTGGTTGTTGTGGTTGAGGTACTGTGATGTATCTATGGGGTACACATTTGGCAGTTTAACATTTATAGCTTAGATATATTTTTGGTGCATTACACCTTAACAGTGCCATATTTATAATTGTGTAGATGACAGAATTCACTGTTGTTATGTTACATGTATGTGTCCCTTGGCAGAAACCAGTCTGATCATGAGAGAGTGGTGATAGTTGAAAATTTGAACTACATTTTAGGACATAACATAGAGGTATAGAAAAGAGGAAATACTGGTGACTCATGGATTAAATGAAATACAATATGTAAAATATCATGTAGTACTGTGGCAACTAGCATCCAATTGTTTTTGATTGGTACCACTTCACATGACAGAGAGACTGTAACATCATCTATATAAATTCATACCTCTGTGGACTGAGATCTGTTTGTTTCCCGAGTGGCACCAACACCTGCATGTCCTCAGCCTGTGTCGGGCGGCCGTACAGGGTCACCAACTGTAGGGCTGGACAGGGCTGGATGTCCAGTTCTGACCACTGCTTGGCTGAAAAAAAGCAAAAATCGTCCTCTAGCTATAGCCTTGAACCTGAATGGTGCAGAATTACTGCAAATCTATAGAATTCGTTATACATTTAATTTAGCACATTGAGCATATATGGCCTGTGAAGATATGTATGTTACAATTACTTTAATCAAGGAGCTTCAACAACGTGATAGAATGTCCTAATTTGCTTTGATAAAAGATTTGGATACAATACCTTCTGAGAGGTACAGGTACACCAGCATGGCGACCTGAACTTGTTCCTGGTTGTTAAACCCATAAGCCACCATTTCCTTGTACTGCAAAACAAAAGAAATTGATTATGATACGTTGGCTAAGTGATACCATCTCCAGGAAGGCTGTATGCGATCCGCCTATAGCTAATTACCGGAATACACAGGTTACCTGTCAAATACTAGTATGGCCCGCTGCTAAAATCACATGTTCTTGACGTCACGTGTCAGAAGTAGCCGGGTCCAATTTCCATGAAAATGGTCAGGATGCTTGAAGGAGTCAAGCAAAGATTCGGGTAAGTCCCAATTTCGTTTCGGTGTTATAACATGAAGTACAGCCATTATTTCACAACGACGTTAACCAGCACAGATTGATTTCAATGCTAAGATCCTCGTCATTGTTGTGCATAGTGTGCAAATTAAATTTTATAGTTGACAGACATGTAACGGCGCTTGAACCTCACTGCTATATACGTGCATGCGGCTACATGTTTTGCCCACCTCCCACCCCACATCATGCAAACCACTGTCGCATAGTACTAGCTAGCATGGAAGTCATGCTTGCTGTGTTAACTGGCGATTCCGGTCTGTATTTGCTGACTGTTATTTCGCGCTATTTACCTTCGGGTGCTCCAGTAACGACGTCAGTTCGTCTGCACGCGGTTTATTTTCTTCGCTCGACGCCATCTTGCACCTTTTGGAGGACACCATTACTTTGGTAGGGGTACTTATTGTCAGTAACTCTTCATAATGAAACTTTTTCTCTATAATAATCTTGTTTAATGTTCACAGTTTTTAGATATAAATAATTTTAACTGTGCAGGACTTGCTAATCAGTTTATTGCATTCAGTAAGAACATATAAGTAAAATTTCGCTTGAGCTTCCCTGCGAATTAGAGTGGGTTCGTCTATGATGTAAGAGGTCAAAGGTAACTAGGGACGCGCCGATCATCGATCATCGAAGGACAAGATTGCACAACACGTGGAAACCTACAAAACGGCGATTTTTCTCGACTATTGCGTCACCCAAACAGTTCCCAGGAGGACGAGACGTCGAAGGACCAAGATGTCGCTTCCTGCTAAGTTATTTTTCGGCGGCTGCGTGGTCACAAGTCTGGGAATCATCGGGTACATTCACTACAGCCAGGTGCGGGACCGGGAACGCATGAGACAGGGCCCGGTCAGGGACATGGAGAGGGAGGCCAGGCGGAGACACAATATCCGTCTGCAGGTGGAACAGATAGAACTCACCAAGAAATATGAGGAGGAACGGGACAGACAGACGGCTGGGGAGGAGGCGGGAAGATAGCGGCAGTTCCATGCCCGGTTGGGTCAGGCTTGTCACTCATGCGTAACCACGTAAACAAATTTAAGAGAAGTAAATAATGTAGTGTTGACGCTGTTGACACAGTTACCATATATACAATTGTTTTACATCACTGCTTGCTCTTTTGAATATGACAGACTTTTATCCAGATACTGAAATTTGTACATTAATAGTATAGGGTCTATCGACTATATTTTTGGGATAGTTCAGTGTAACGTTATATGATTATCCACAAAAGAGGAACCATGCATTATACCTTAGTATAACGTACTGGCTAGGGTACCAGTGAAATACTACAAAGTGTTCCCGATAACATCGAAGGTAGTATGTGAAAGACCAGCACCGATACAAGACCATTTTCTGCACGATAAGATGGCTTAATTCACCAGGTAGTACCCACCCACCATGTGTTGTTACTGACGTCATAAGGTTATAGGTCGTGCTGCCGTGTGTGGACCAATAGGCACAGGCCACAATGACATCACTTTCCTTTTATACACCTGCGGTGTTGTGAACATAGATACGTTTCAGTGTATTGTGCAATCGCGTCAGGTTGTATTTAAAGCGGTGACTGATCGTATTTCTCAGGCTTTTGCAAGCCACATAACAGTTCGGTTCTACGTGGCGAGGCTTGGACAGCAAGAATTAAGTATAGTTTAGGACTTGGGTGTTTGTACGTTACAAAAGTAGGCCATGGGTGTCAATTCGACTGAATGCATTTCCGTGTCTCCAAGACAAGACGGGTCAACTGCTGCCGGTCGCAGCTTTCTCAAGGGGGAGGGGCTGTCCAGAAACACAAGACATCTCAAAATGGCGTCTGTGGCACCCAAGGACAGCAAAGAACATGAGTGCAAGGTTGCTTCGTCGGCAGATATCCAAATTTGTGGCGACAAAGGTCCTGAGGAACAAGCGAAGAAGAAGAGGAAGTTTAGGCCGGCTGCAGAACTATGGAGTTTTGAAATTGAGAGACCAGCTCGGACATACAGTTTCACACAAGAGGAGCCGACACGTTACACCACGGCGGCGGATCATGAACTGTCTGACTACGAAGGCTACGAAGAATTCGAGGATTCTGCGACCATCGTGAGAGGTAAGCTCCGTCTGAGATCATGTATGAAGAATAAAAGTACAAGAACGCGAAGGCTACTGAGGGATGAGCGCTGTTATAAAGGCGGGCAGAGGGTCATTGTAGCTTGTGTTAAAAGGGCAAATATTGATGTTCGGAAGGAGAATATTGAGGTCGCTGTTGAGGCAAAGAAAAGAAATGTCGAGAAAAGACTCAGAGTGAAACATATTCGTCGCAACAGTCAACCCAGAGACAACTCTGCGCAGAGCGACCAGGAAACGAAAGCGGAAGATCACAAGGACGCCATAGTTCCCGGACTCAGAACCGCACACGGTGCACCCGTCATGCTGAGTGCTCTTGATGATGTTTTCCGTCAGAATTTCACCGACGCTCGGGCCAACATGACAGCGCTGCGTGACCTCGACGAATCATGCAAGCACGAACGGTCTGTCCACACTACAAAGAAGAAGAGGAAAGTGCAAAGACAGCGAAGGAGGGCCTTCACGCGCGTTAAGGAGACACTGTGCATGCATGAACAGAAACTGTACATTCCGGACAGTCTTCGCAATATTACAGCCCCGTCTCGGGGAACGAAGAGAGTTGTTCTCACCACACGTGAGACCAGCCATAACACTGCGCTGCAGAGGATTCAAGCAGGACTCAGCCCCAACCTCACATACCATGAGGTCATCTTTCTGCTGAGGGCACATGTTATGCATGTCACTCGGGAAAACAGGAGGAAGATGAGTCGTTCGAAACGAGTTGAAACTCAGAAGAAGCTGAAGAAGATCGGTAGGAAGATATATTGTAAGGAGCTGCGCCACCTCGTTGTTCAGGTGAAAGGAACCGAGACTTACTCAAGCCGCAGAAAGGCACAGAAGTCACAGAAGTACGAGCTTCGACATGAGGATCTGCCGCCATCCGCAGATCAGAGCATGGAGCGGCTGGTCGACCTGCAACATCGAGACCTCACACCAGAAGACTACGAACTTCTGCTGCTACTAGACGACGCCGTCGCCCCAAAAACTGTCAGCTCGAAAATGATAAGAGACCTGAAAACGGTGAGAGTAGAGAGCTCCAGTGACGCGCCATGCGCCATCTGTTTCGACCCGTACGAGGTTGGTCAGATCCAGAAGGTGCTTAACTGCGGCCACGCGTTCCACGTCCAGTGCATCACACTGTGGCTGACGAACTGTTCAAGTGCTTGTCCTCTGGACGGCATTGACGTCTCAACAGAGCCACCTAGCGACGTCCAGGTGGAACAGCAGGGCGCCCAGCAAGCAGCCGGACTTGTGCTTGATCCCACAAGCGATTCGGTAGACCCCGCACTTCGGGAAGTTGCCGAGCTACAGCGGAGGGATCTGACACCGGAGGACTACGACATGCTCCTTCGGCTGGACGAGCGAGTCGAACCGAAAACAGTTGAGCCGGCTCACGTGGACGGCCTGGAGACGCAGGTGGTAGACGCGCTTGTGATCGGGGACAGCTGTGCCATCTGTATGGAACATTACGAACTGGGACAGACCAAGAAAATCCTCCCCTGTAAACATGGATTTCATATAATGTGTATTGAAAACTGGCTTAAAAACTGTTCTACCCTGTGTCCTCTCGACGGAGAGCCGCTGGTTTAGCATACTTGTGTCATTATGTTGCTGCTTATTACTTATACCATTGCAGTACTTCCCTGTTGGCTGTTTATATAGGTTTTAGTTAGGACCCATTGTTGAATTAAATACAAGTTGAGAATTCATCCTTCAGCATTGTTGACTCAGTTATTTGCAAATTAAACAAAAGTAAAGTTGGTAGGATGTTTTATTTATGATTTCCAATTATTAATGAAAATATACACATCGTAGTAAATATATACATCAATATATTATATACATAAGGCTTATAATGACTTGCCGCACAAATTGTATGTACATGGTAATCATATATGACGGAATTTCCGAATATAATATTCTTTATGTTACATCCATTAAAACGCCAGACGCATCAAAACTATTTACATGCTAGGCATACATTTCGTACAAAATCCCATAGACTCATATAGGGAGCAGTGTGCCATTTTGGTGTATTGCCACAAACGGGTATCCAGTACGTAGTCCCGTGCCTTGGTGTTGGAATGGACCTTATCTTACCACCCCTCCTACGGTACATGGCCTGTTCTTGCTGCTAAAATGCGATCCTATATTACTTGTACCACCCCTGCTTATGGTTTCTGGTCCTGTCCTTAGTGCTGAAATGCAATCCCGTCAACAACCCCTGATACTTGGCCCTGTGCTAAAATGCTCGGTTATGGTTTACAGGATTGTCAACATTATCCTACTTTCTACACTTCTGTGGAAGGCATCCTGGATAGTTTTCTCCTGGGGACAGGCTGCGGCACGGAAGGGTCCATGTTGGACAGGGGGGTAACGAAAACGTCCGGGTCTGAGGACTCCATATTAGGAAGGTGGGTGGTGGAGACAACTGAAGGCATCAGCTCCGGAGTTGGAGTATTTTTGTTGGACTTTGTGGAACTATGGGACTCAGGGCGAATCTGTTAAGGAAAATGAAAACATAGTATTCAGGATTCTCAATTCACAGCTTTTCGGTCCATGATGCTTACAGTGGGCTCATGTACAAAACGTATTTTAGGTCCTTAAACTTTTTTGTGTAACTGAGAATGAGGTCACCAATATATGTCGACAATGCAAAATTCTGTGCACATATCTGTTCTAAAACCTTATTCGCAGGGGACATGATGACTACAGTCTCTTACCTCATTCGTTAAGTTAAAAATGATTGCAGAAATTCACGGCTCACTTCTAATTACTTATTCCATTGAATCCGAATTTATGAATCCATTTGTCCATGTTCCAACAGTAGCGTACAGAATGGTATATCATGCTAATGGACCCAAGTAAATATTATATCAGACGTTTGACCAACGGTTATAATAGCAGCGTGACTCACCACGTCCGAGTCGAACGGTTTGACCCTTATGGTGTCGGCTCTCCCCGGGATGTTCCCGCGGCTGACGCTCCATGTGTACGCTCTACGCTTAAATGCCTGACGAACCTACCAATCACATCAAAATAAACTCATGGTTATGTATGTATCTGTAAACTCTTACAACTTTTTAAAAACAAATTACGAGCGACGAGAACAAATAAAATTTCTTTAAAGAAATACAGTTTTGTTGATTTGCAGACTTTTTCATGCTTATGACAGATACAGAGAATATTGTATTATCACTTGCCAGCTATCTCTTTATTCTGTTACTGAGTCATTACCTTAATGAAAATTACTGAACGTACCTCACTGTTGAGAGCGCAATGGAACAGAAAAATAAACAGTCCCTGTAACGGAAAAGTGCTTAGTTAAACTTCACGTAAGGTTAGCCAACACACAAACCTGCATCTAATAAAGTAACGGTATTTGCAAGTGCAAGGACAACAGTTGTACATTTTACCTTTTTGCTATCTCGACATTTGGGATTTCTAATGGCAAACGGCATGTATTTTATCATAAAAACATAGCTCACTCGTGTTCTCATTTGGTAATTGATTTGGTATAATTGGACTATGATATTGCCGAATGTATTGAACATAATCAGGCGACGCTTTCAAGAAAAAGTTGATTTTACCAACCTGTGCGCTGTTAGTGACAGCAAAGATGTACTGGAACACAACTGCAGCTTGGTTCACTGCCAGGACACCGAATATCCACGAAATACCGAGGATAGGCAACAGGACAGCCACAGCCCGCACACTGGACCTGTGGGCGGAAATGTACGTGTTGTCAGTGCTGGTGACTCCATTTTCGATCAGTATATGTATCAATATGGTCGGTATAAACGCCCTTCGGTGCAACACACCAGCTTCGCAGGCACGCGGCGCGGCGGCAGCTAGCTATATCACACCGAACGACCTGTTACACTAAATCTTTGCACATCCAACTGCAGGAGTTGTTTAAAGTTTGACATGGTTTTGAACATGATATAAATACTAGAAGCGATGTTCTCACTCAACACTGCTCAGGCGCTTTAGTTTATGCCTTTATGACAGAAAGTATATTGTTACTGGCATTGCAGATAGGGCCGAAAATATATTCAATCCATCTTTCCCTTTATAATACCTGTAAAATCGGATAGTCGGCGAATGAGTGAATGCCTCAATTAACCGTAAGTTCTCAAGTTGGTCTTAGAAATTACCAAGAAGACAACTTACTTGAACGAAGATTTTTCCTTTGCCGGTTTGACCCGGAAGCTGATGTTGTTTAGTTTGACGACCTCTCTCGTCACCAGGATCAAAATCACCGCGTTAACCTGGACCAAGCAGATGTAAGGTAGTCAGATATAACTTACAGGGGGTACCTGATTGAGTACTGTTCTAACAAGTCGTTAGATTCCTTTCACTGCGATCAAGGATAGCTAGTTAACATTCTGGATGCAACAATATTGTTTACTAGTTATGCATCAAGCTAGTTTAAACTGTAATTTCCAACACAAGATAAGGTTGTTTACTAATTAGTGACATCTCATTAAAACTTACAAGAATGATGACCAAAGCAGGAGCTACAAACGCCCAGATCACTCCCCCACTGGTCGATAACCAGCAACTGGAAGAATAACATAAACAATCGTCAATACGATCCAATACTAACGTTAAAGCACTGCATAGTGAGGTACACGTTTAGACCACAATGAGATGCAAATAAATTAACAAAATATTTGTGTTCAATGTCTTATCAAAAGGCAGACAACATTGAAAAAAACTTACTTGTCTTTTTCTCCATAGCCACTGTGAGCTATGCTGACGGATACGGTACACACCACAAGCGGCAGACCTGCAATGTTAATAATATATTAGACACTGAATTGATCGTTAGCAATCTAAAATGGTCCATGATATTGTTTTGCTAGAGTATCTATCCTATACAGTAGTTGTTTTGATGTTTGTATTTTAAGTGTATGTAAAAGGACTCCAGAAAGAGTAGTGGTGTATTTTCACTATAATTTAAGGTTCCTGAAATAAACAAACAATACAGTAAGTGAACATGTACATACCCCAGCCGATGAGATAGTAGTACCGAAGCCTGACATGTGTGAAGACTCGGACGATGACGTTGTACAGGTGAATACCTTCCACTAACATCCAGGCGAACGCTGCCAGGTAGATGTAGTGTAACAACACTGCGAACACTTTGCAAATCACCTGATAGGAGAGGTATGAACATATACATTTTGAGCTTTCTCTGATTGCGGCTAAAGGTACTACCGTATTCCGTTCTGTGCCTATCCTATGATTCTGTCCCTAGTGCTGAAATGTGATCCTCCTATCCTACCACCCCTGCGTAAGTACGTGGTCCTGTCCTTAGTGCTGAAATGTGATCCTACCCTACCACCCCTGCTACAGTACGTGGTTCTGTCCTCAGTGCTGAAATATAATTCTACCCTACCACCCCTGCTACAGTACATGGTCCTGTCCTTAGTGCTGAAATGCGATCCTACCCTGCCACTCCTGCTACAGTACATGGTCCTGTCCTTAGTGCTGAAATGGGATCCTACCCTACCACACCTGCTACAGTACATGGCCCTGTCCTCAGTGCTGAATGTGGTCCTATTTTTCACGCCCAACTGATTATACATGTATATGTATCGACCTCGCAAGACTTTGAGCGAGAGTTTGACTTCGAGCGTTCAAAATTTTGAAGGACTTTGGTTAAAGGCATGGACAGTCTCTATACATACTATGTCGAAGTAATGGATTCTTTGATCGACAAAATACGACGCTTCTTACCGTGCCAGGAGTCCACCCACTCCCGATCAGGAAGAGTGACTGTGCCAGGAGCAGACAGACGCACAGGTTGACGTGCGCATGCGTCTTGTCTGCTTGGATACTCCTACGGTAATGCGGAGGAAATAGAAATTTTACAGGATCTCCTTTTTCCCATTGGCTGTTCTTTCATCATTTAGATAAGAAATTTTGCTACAACTAAACCTGACACACATAATATTAAGTTAAAACGGAAAATGATCATTTGTCAATGTCTTGCATTCCTGTGCAAATGATTATACAAAACGAATCTATTGTTTACAGTCTATATGACTATGCTATAGTTTTCAGAATCATGAGATGTAAAACTGTTCTTACGAAAGTCCCAGGAACACGATGATAGTGACGAACAGACAGATGATGGACAGCCCACACCCCACATAGGTGATCACCTGGAGAGCAACTCTGTTCCCATGGTCCATCTGGAAACAAAGAAAAAGTTGACTCTCTATATACACCACATTGGTTGAGGAATCGTCAGAAAACATCGGTCTGGCACGATATTTGGACCAAAAGCATTATAATTTACCTCAGAAACGAATGATAAAACGATTTGTTGATCCATGGCTGACAAAAACAAGAAAACGATACAGATGAATTATGTTTCCATAGACAAATATACAGGAAGATACTGGATTTTCTGGCAGCAGACAGGGATGAATGAACGAAAAATACGATCGTTGTCCCCAACAATACGGCCCATATCTCAATGAACACTACTAAAATGACTTGTACGACTGGAACCATTCCAACATACGTGCACATCCACCACCTGCATGAGGATGGCGTAGTTTGTCATGTGGTTACAGCTGCACACGGTGTGGGTGGAGTTGGAGGAGTGGATGACACACCCTGCGTCTGACCACACACCGACATCACCTGTCAGGTCTAGGTGCACACACCAAAGTCTGGCGGTTTCCTCTGCTTCCTACAAGGAAAAACGTCATGATTACAAGAACAGGTTAAGAGACACCAACTAAGGATTTAACTAGAACTATCGATACAAACTAAAGTATATATATAGAAGTATGAAATAAAGACCAAGCTTTCCTTCCAACACTGGATTGAATTGGGGCTTACCCCAAATTTGCTTTCACGGAATGGACTCGTCTACTCTTTCATAATGACTTGTACCAACACAGATAAACTGTCATGCTAAGTTAAAGTGGAAGTAATTGCACCAAGTTCAAAGAGTTGGATGTGAAAGGGTTAGGTGTGACAGGTCGTTCTACGTAGCGTAGCTGTTGTCGGAAGGCGGTCATACTGGTCGTCTTAGCTAGAATATTCTTAGAATACTGATGGGGATATGTTTATATGTCAGTGTAAACTACCGTATTTCATCCTAGCAACGTAACGTCTGCGTTATCTACTGTCATTTCCCAAGCAGCCTGGCGCAACGTTAACTTTATGACGTGTTTTATAACGTACCTGTAAGTGCGTGAATGACACAGTGACGTTGTCCGGGAGTGGGAGGGGAGGGCTGGGACCCAGCGTGACGGACACAACCAGACTGTTCAGTGACGCTTCAGATGGCTCCACACCAAGACTGTGATTAAAGACATTACATCATATAGATTTACCCGATATATAATACAGTTGTATGTCCAGATCATAGATGATACACGATACCTAGCCGCGGCGACTATAGCAGGGCTTCTCTTGCTTGCAGTCTTTTACATGTTGTTAGGGCTAATGTAAAAGTCTGCAAGTAAGAAAGGCCTGCAACAGTCGCCGCGGCTACACGATAACTAAATTACAGCAGGTCTCTTGGGCCCAAGTTCAGAGTTTGGCTTTCAATACAACTCATACGATTAAGATGATTGTACCTATTGTTTGTGGAATAGCGCTTGTGGAGATTGTGATACAGGACAGCGACAATCGTCCGTGGGTCTGTGGAAAAACAGAAATCAAGGGCTAAATCAACACCAGGATTTAATGCAATAAAGTAGAACAACACACAGCGTAACATAGCACAGTACGTTACATCTCAGTCAAACAATGACAAATCAAACTTTCTTTCCGGTTGCTGGGGTTCTTTTTAATGCTTACCATGCATGTTATGATTTACAAGGGAAGCCGGGATCTGTACAGTAGCATCAGAGTCATCATCTGGAAACACGTAATCAGCATGTTGTAGTACTGCTGAAGGCCGCACGGTGACGCTAAAGTCTAGTGAGAGGGAGAGGGTACTATTAGACACTGTATTGCCATTTATCAAACGATGCGTTTTATGTTCTCTTCTTATCAACATAATCTAGGATGACTGAGGATGTTTGACTATACAAACAAATCGCAGAAAACGTATCAAACGAATATCGAATAGGCAAGAATGTCTTCAATGATAACATACTCATAGTAGCGTCATAACTGTAGCACAAACTGACACAATCCGCAGTTTTAATAAGAGCAAAACTTACTGGAAATGCCGTTGTCTCCTGAACTCAGGACAGTTGTGGCTCCTGACGGAAGCACGTGACTTCCCAAGTGTATGTTGAACTGATCGATGACACGTGACAGATCAGACAACGTACTGTCTCTCACGTACTGCAAGGGCATGTGAAATTACAATCATGAAGATATTTCAATTGTAACGTTCCAATCATGTTCCTACGTATCATGATTTTTAGATATAGGACAAGTGATTGTCACATGATTTGAATCGATTACTTAGTGTCTGAAAAAGCAAGATATGGCCGTGCGTCACGGTGCGCGAAAGGCCACGGTAGACTTAGTACAAAGAAGTCGTACCTGAGTCATGTTGCCCCAGCCATACTGGTCCAGGTCACTCATGACTTGTCCTGTCTCCTCGAAGAACCTCTGATAGGAAAGTGGTATTACGTACAAAAGGGTAAGAAACGAAATATGGAAGAAGTAACCAGAAGTACCAGTACACTACGATATACCCTATGGAATTGGTCAGATTGGAAGTTTGCAATGAATCTTGACAATATCGCACAGTATTGTGTAATGACAGCTACCTTAGAAAGATCAGAAGCAATATTTGCTTCCACTCTTTCTTCTGGAAGGAGATCTAACAGCTTCTCCAAGACGGAGACGGCTTCAGTGATATCCGTGTCTATAACGTATGTTCCTGGGACCGTTACCGCCAGAAGAGCCTGCAGCAGTTCGGCGGCCTTTTCATAGGTGGCGTTGGTGAGTGTGTCGACCTGAAACAATCACAAAGAAATGAATAAAATATTCAATGAACGGAAGAGTGACGCGGGCAAAAAACATTGAATTGTATGTAATTTGAACACCAATGTTGTTTGAACCTACCTCTATCCTAACAGTGTCCACGCCAATGGTGGTCCCTGAGAAATACACAAAACAGAACATTGAGCAGTTCGGTATGCAAGAAAAATACTTTCGTTGAAAATTGTAAAAGATATGGCTCCTTAAAAGGGTACTTGTCTCTGAATTACTGATAGTTTGGAAGCGTTCAATTTTGTTTCGATTTTTCACGATTGCACTGACACCGAATTGTTAGTCTTTCTCTAAGCCAAAGCACATATTCTAAAACGTAGACATCATACCAGTCGACGCTTGGTAGTAGTACTGGACCTCCGGATCTGTCAGCTTGCGACCCCAGATCGCCAGCTCGTCAAACGAGCCGGTACAGTACTCATCATACGACTGGTCGTTGTTGGTACCCACTACCAGGTTGTTGTGCACAGCGCCGTAGTTGGTGCCAACAGTGGAGGTGACTGTGACAGACAGTTTGACGCCGTCTTGCCAAACACCTAGGCTATCAGCCTGGTTCCAGGTAAATACAAAGTGGCTCCACGTGTCACCTGTATAGGATAGAAAGTCGTACAAGGTTTAAACGACAGAGGCAGTATAACTGACAAATTCACTGACATGGTGTAGTCTTTTAGTGGTTTCTGAAAATGTCATAATCAGGGGGAATGTTCGCGTGTTGAGTAGTATTCAATTCGGACGCAATACCAACTAGATAATGTTAGCCAGCTTCGCCTTGCCCCTCTTGTGATTTCTTAATGTCCCTTTTCTTTACCAGTCCCAGTATAACTTTGATGCGGATATCATTTTTCTCTAATATCGGAAATGATAGCTGACATAGTTGTAACGTTAGATCATAGTAGTCTTGGCTACTTGAAAACATCTTTCAGAAGTTAGAATATCTGGTGACTTAAACTTAATACACCGAATAACTCGAGTCTTACTCATAGGATATTCAAACTCTTTTTTTTTTAATTCCAACATGTAATCACTAGACGTGGTGACGACACACTCAAGTTTTTTCAACTTATATTAATGCCGCCACCAACACAGCCAGGGGACAAATACATGACAGGACAATACTCATTTACACCTGAGCTGAGTGAGGAAAGTCGTGTAAAGTGCCTTTCCCAAGGGCACAAGATCGGTGGCATGTCAGGACTCGAACCCGGGACTCTAAGTTCCGAGTCGCGCACTCTGCCACTACGCCACACGACCCCACTACGCCACACGACCCCACCTTCAAACTCTACTACTGGATAAAATACGGAGATAATATCCGAGTCTTATTTACAGATCATTCTTACTTGGTGAAGGGAATTCTGCCTTCCACAGTATGTTGCCGCTCCTGATGTAGAACTCCGTCCCGAAGGTGGGACTGATGGTGTAGAGAGACAGTCCGTCAGACAGGCCCTTCCCGCCTGACGTGATGCACTGTCGGCTGATCAGCTCCGAGTTCTTCCACCAAACGGACACGGAAAATCCTGCAACGGGAAGTTACATTGGTCTGATCAGTTTACGGATGACAGCATGCAAATAATAACTGGGAATATAACTTTGAATGCAGCATTTGATTATGGTACGAACAAAGAGGTTAAATCTTTTTAACCCCTTGGTGCGAGTACGGGATGGCATAAAAAGACGTTCGCTCAAAAGTAAGTAGTAGAGTAGTAAAGTCAGATGCTAAAATCCTCAGTGTAAAAATCATTTACGGTTTGCACCATGGAAAGACATATTTTATAAGCTTCTAGGAATACATGTCACGAAAAGTCCTCAAATTTTTCGACCTATACTAAAGTTTTGATGCGTCCAAGGCTTTCGGGCACCAGTACCGCAAGTTTGCCTGTACCTGTCTGTGCGCAGAGAGCGGGGCTGGCCACACAGGTATCCGTGAAGTCACCCAGGGTCACAAAGTTCGGCCCGCCGTCCAGGACAATCCCGTCATTCACTATAGCACTTGCTGTCCCTGCAAAAAAAATTGTTAACGTTTTCAAGTGAATCTTTAAAAAACATTTTCAGGGAAATTAGACTTACATACTTCGGACTCTATGAAGCTTTCGTTTTTTTTAAAAGTTATGTTGCAAAGTAATAGTTTGTCCTGTAACCATCCTTATTCTATTATACATGTCCAGTTTTTCCTTGAGGGTGGAAATGTCTGCCCAAAATACAAAAGACGTGAATGCCATACTTGACATGACAAGAGTAAAATAATAGAATTATTTCTAGACCATGGACGAATAGATATTCATTATATCATGTTGTTAACCTTCACGTACCTACGCTCCCGTTGACCGTGCCATGACGCCCAGAGTTTAACTCTTCGACGACTCCGTTCTGCACAGAATCGAACGGCCAATAGTATTCCGCAGATCTGATGACGTCAACCGTGGGGGGNGGGGGGGGGGATCATCATGATCAGTTAGATAGAACCATCCGGTTTTGTGATAATAGTTAGGATGTTTTGGGTCTAAATAGAATCCGGGTCTATCATACTGTATTTCCTTACACGTTACCGTCAGTGTCATCATTGTTTCAGTCTTCCTTTATTTATTTATTTACAGTAAGTACACATCAGCATTGAGGAAATAGACAAGATATCAAAAAACCATCGCATTGTCATGAAAGCTACCATGTCGTCATTCTGCCATACTTTAATTTCTGCCATACTTTGTGAATAAATCATTGTGTTAGATCACCTCTTTTAGAGAAACCCCTGAGTACTCTCACGACATGTTGTGTATAGTAACTGCCTTACCCTTGATTACCCTTGCATACCCTTAAATCTAGAAATTATTACAACT